CGCTCGGCTACAGGCTACACTGGGCTGGGGGAGTCTGAGCACAGGGCAGGGAGTGGCTTGGCCAGTTGGGGAGAAGGGAACAGAGCCCCCCTCCACGAGCCCTGCTCTCTGGGCTCTGCTGGACTTATCTGACCTGTTCCTGGCGAGCCAAGGGTCTGCTAGTCATCATCCCAGGGGTGGCTGGCTGTTGTTCCTGATGACTGTTATTCCTCTCCAGTCCCCTCCCTCCTGATATTACTGTCCACAGACACCTATCTTCTGAGCAGACACAGCAGGGAGATTCCTCCAGGGGAGGAGGGGAGCCGTGTACCCAGGCCTGGTGCAGCCTGTGATCAGCCTTTCCAGGAGTACTGGACATCCCTACATTACTCTCAATGCTTTCAAAGCCCTTTACACACACGAGGTCACTTGGGACTCACTACAGTCTTATGAGGGATTTATCACCCCCATATTACAGATTAGCAAACTGAGGCTCAGGCACATGAAGTGACCTGTCCAGGGTCACACAGTAAGTATCAAGGGCAGGATTCAAACCCAGGTCTTCCTAACTCCAGGACCAGTACTCTATCCACTGTGACCTTCAGTTATATTGGGCCACAAGGACTTTTCCTGACAAAGGGAAGCAGCCTGTGCACCTGACTTCATTTTGTCCTAGAAAGGCCTCTCAGCTTGGAGCTGGCAATGAGGCTGTGGGAGGGTGGGTGAAGAGTTGAGAGGCTACCTGGCCATAGAAGGCGGGGGGGGGGGCTGGATCAGGACTGTTCTGACTGTTCTCATCCTGGGGACATGAGGAGCTGGCTTCCTTCTCCAGGTGCTTAGCAAGCAAACTGAGATCTGGGAAAGACCCTCATTTAAAAAGGCAGAGCTCCCCCAGCATCCGGGGCTGTCTCCAGGCACCTGATGTGTGTCTGGCCACTGGACCCAGCTGGCGCCAGAGAAGAGAGTGAGGCTGGTGACGGTGCCCAGCCCTGCCCCACTTAAAGCCAGTTCGCCTGCATGTCATGGTATCAGCTTCCTGATGTCATGGTCCTCTTCGAAAAGAAGGACCCACAAGAGCAGTAGACTGAGTGCCTTCCTCTCCGCTCATACTTTCAGTCATTCGAAGCAGATAGGGGGCATCACAGTGCACAGTGGGTCTGGAGTTAGGAAGACCTGAATTTAAATTCCACCTTAGGCACTTACTAGCTGTGTGATGGTGGGCAAGTCACTTAACTTCTGCCTGCCTAAGTTTCCTCATCTGTAAAATTGGGATATTAATAGCATTTAACTTTCACAGTTGTTGTGAGGGTCAAATAAGATATTCCTAAAATGCACAAAACCTGTCATATAGTAGGCACTTAAGAAATCCTTCCTTCCTTCCTTCCTACCCTACTTCCTTCCTTCCTTCCTTCCTTCCTCCCTCCCTCCCTCCTCCCTCCCTCCTCCCTCCCTCCCTCCGTTCCTTCCTTCCTCCCTACCTCCCTCCTTCCGCCTTTCCCCCTACCTCCCTCTGTCCCCCTACCCCCTCCCTCCCTCCATTCCTTCCTTCCTTCCTCCCTTCCTTCCTTCCTTCCTTCCTTCCTTCCTTCCTTCCTTCCTCCCTCCCTCCATTCCTTCCTTCCTTCCTCCCTTCCTTCCTTCCTTCCTTCCTTCCTTCCTTCCTCCCTTCCTTCCTCCCTTCCTTCCTCCCTTCCTTCCTCCCTTCCTCCCTTCCTCCCTTCCTTCCTCCCTTCCTCCCTCCCTTCCTCCTCCCTCCTTCTTCCTTCCTTCCTCCTTCCTCTTCCTTCCTTCCTTCCTTCCTCCTTCTTCCTTCCTTCCTTCCTTCCTTCTTCCTTCCTTCCTTCCTTCCTTCTCCCTCCTCCATTCCTTCCTTCCTTCCTCCCTTCCTTCCTTCCTTCCTTCCTTCCTTCCTTCCTTCCTCCATCCCTCCCTTCTTCCCTCCTCTCCTTCCCTTTCTCCCTCACTCCCTCCTCCTCCTCCCTTTCTCCTCCCTCCCTTCCTTCTTCCTCCCTCCTTCCTTCCTCCATCCCTCCCTTCTTCCCTCCCTCCTCCTTCCCTTTCTTCCCTCCCTCCTCCCTCCCTTCATGCCTTCCTCCCTCCCTTCATGCCTTCCTCTCTCCTTTCCTTCCTTCCTTCCTTCTTCCTTCCTTCCTTCCTTCCTTCCTTCCTTCCTTCCTTCTTCCTTCCTTCCTTCCTTCTTCCTTCCTTCCTCCCTTCCTCCCTCCTCCCTCCCTCCCTCCCTCCCTCCCTCCCTCCTTCCTTCCTTCCTTCCTTCCTTCCTTCCTTCCTTCCTTCCTTCCTTCCTTCCTTCCTTCCTTTCTTCATTCCTTCTTTCTCCGTGCCACAGTTTCCCCTTCTATAAAAGATTTTTGGACTAGGCAGTCTCTAGGGCCCCTTCCAGACCCACATACGTGATCCTTTGATGCAGCCTTCCTCTTCCAAAGCACCCTCATTCTGAGCTCACCTGGCTGGTAAGGGCAGCACCTTTACAAAGGCTAACACTTTCATGGTTGAGGAGGAAATTGGGATCTGAATTCCAGGTAGTAACATGAGCAGGGCTCCTGACCTATTGTATCCTTTCTCCCTCCCAGCCCTTTAGAGGCACCAAGGAAACCTGAGGATGCCACCTTCTCAGGCTTTCCCAGGGCCCTTAAGGGTCTGGGATTTTCCACAGGTGAAGGGTCACCAGCTCCAGGAACCTCCTTGTCCTTGTCCTGGGTCCCTGAATCCTTGGTCTGATCCTGCCTGGGAATGTCCTCTTTCAGTGGCCCCCTGTGCCCTGCTTATCAGCCCCAAAGTTGGACCTACATTGGCTTCTCAGCCTCATCATGGAGAGAGTATTGTGCCCACAAAGGGCACTGCATCACCCAAGAGGAATGACCTGACCAAGGTCTCACAGGGAGTAAGAAGCAAAAGTGGGAGCTGAATCCAGGACCTCTTAAAACAAATGCTGCGTCCTTCCTCCCATCTCCTCTGGGCTACTGGGGTTCCTCTTGGTAAATGAAGCCTTTAGTGGCCTATCTAGGGTTTTCCAGAGAGATACTTCCCCTGGGGAGAAGGTGGTGTCCTAGGAAGGTCTGTCTCTTGATCTCACTCATCTTCTGAGACTTGGTGACCAACTTGGAGTGGATAGTTTCTCCAAAAGCACAGAAGGGCACCCTCCTAGGACTTCTCATGCTTTGTGGCTCTTACTAGGGTACTGACCTCCTCTAAGCTGCCCCCCGAGACTCCTGCCTTCCTTTCTCTGACAAGGGGACCCATGCAGCATGGAGGAGCATCCTCGGGGAGCTAACCTCCTTTCCTGGTCACAAGTGCCCCTAAGTGGGGCTTTTAGATGGACTCTTAGTGGACACAGCAGCTTGTGAACCATGTCATCTGACAGCGCAGGGACATCAGAAAGACCCAGGACCCTTCTTCTCATTTCCCTAGAAGAGATGCTGAATCCCAATACCCAAGAATGTTGAGCACGGAGGCCAGAACCCTTGGGCTGACCACCAGGCTAGTTGTGGGCTTCTCAGAGGATCCTCCTGCTTTTGAGGGCGTCAGCCCTGACTTTGTTGGAGGCCTCCTTGACTCTGAGGACATGCCACTCGGCCTCCTTAGCCACCTGCCTCCAGGCACGATGAAGGAGGACAACATTGAGGGCCAAGAGAGGGGAAGGTGAGGGGCCCCAGGGAACACAGCAGAGATTGTTTCTGGCTTGAGGCATTGTCAATTTCAGCGGGGCCATGTCTGGAGAGGTCTCTGTTCCCTGTGTTATTTAATCCTCCCAACAGCCCAGTTGGGAGCCCAACTGGAGGAAGGTGCTGGGGGATAGAGCAGGAAACTGAGGCCCAGAAAGGGGAGCTCACTTATTCAAAGTCTTGCAGCTGCTCACCAGCCAACCCAGTACTTGAACCTGTGCTTTTGACTTCTGGTCAGTCCAGGATTATTCCCTTCTCTGGCCTGTGAAGCCTCCAGTGAAGACAGGGCTGGTTGGGAGCCCTGGACTTGGGACCCTGAGCAAGTCGCTTCACCTCTATGCCTCAGTTTCCTCAATTGCAAAATGGGGAGGCTGGAAGAAAAATCCTTGAGCTGCATGTGAATTCTGTGCCCTAGTGGGCAGCTGTGTCCCTAAGCTGGGTTCCCTGCCCATTTCTGACAAGTTTTGATTACATGTAATTCTGGAGGGGATTAGGCAGCCAGAGAGGATTGAAGACCCGCTGCATGTCAACAAAGAAATCTGTGGGTCTGGGCAGCAGCAGGAGGGCCCTGCCCGCTTCCCCTGCAGCTGCACTGTCCAGGCAGACTCAGAGCTGCAGGCTTAGAGAAAGCCTGAGACCTCTCCTTATTGTGGGAGAAATGTCAGTCAGATTGGTGACAGGCATGGGGGGTGAGGCAGTCATCCAAGTCTTCCCCAGAGAGAAGAGGAGGCAGCAGAGCCTGGGGCCAGGATGGGCCCGTTTGGGCCTTTGATTCAGGAAAGGCTGGGCCAGAGTCCGCCCCCTGGGGTCTCTATCAGCAGAACCTACCCAGGAACTGTTCAGTTGCGCGTAGAAGAGGCCCTTCAGGCCCTTAGTGAGGGTGGCCCTGGGGAGGGATGGAGGCATGGTCTGGACTGAGCCGAGGTGTCTGACTTCCTTCAGGGGCCCTGCCAAGGTCATTGTGCCACCAGCTGCTTGCCCGCTAGTCGCTGGGAGGAGAGGGGCAGGTTCTCCTTGGGCGTGTGCTGGAATTGGAGCAGTTGGGCCTGGGGCATCCTGCAGCATTACTTGGTTTACTGAGAGCTATAAAAGATGATTACCTGATAACTGAACCAATATTTCCCCACCACTGCCCACAAAAGCCGAGCTGGCACCCCAGCCCACGAGCCCCACTACTGTTTGCTCATTAATCTGGCAAATGTTACACCCATTCCTGACCCCTCCTCTTCCCCTTCCCCTCCCCTCTAAAGGCGACACCTGGCCGACCAGTAGCCTGAATATAAAGCCAGCGCCCCTCCACAAAGTCATTCTCCAGCCAGCCCACCCAGCTGAGCCAACATGGGGTTGAGCCTAGCCAGTCTCCTGGTAGTCTGGCTGGCTCTGTCCTCGGTAGGGACAGCAGACCTTCAGAAAGGTAAGACCTTCAAAGCCACTGGGTGGTCCCATGGTAGAGAAAGCAAGAGAGTGGGGGCTCTCCTCCCCTGTGGGTCGCCTGCCCACAGCTTCCTCAGGAACTGGACCAGGGCTGGGGCTGTCATGGCCCTGCCCGCTGCCCTAGTCACTCCCTGGTCATCAGGTGAAGTGAATCTTTGGTGGGGGGCTAGCAGAGCAAGGCAGGGGGAAGAGAGCGGAGCCTAGGGTGGCAGCCCAGAGCTGCCGAGCCTCACTGGGCTTCAGGCATCACCAGCTCCCTCAGGTCAGCTGGGTCTCCCGGAAGGAGGTGATGCTCCTGGTGAGGAGGTCAGTCACCTTGGAGTGTTGCATGAGTCTGGGGCAGGGGAGGGCAGGCAGGAGGGGGATAGCAGATAGGAAGGGGGCAGCTTACTCCCAGGAAAGGTGAGAACATGGCTCTCAGCAGGTCTCCTCCTTCCCTCCTGGCTCTCAGGACCATCACTCACCTCATTGTGACCTGGAGCTGGGCATAGGCAGGAGCTGTGCCCTGGGGGACTGGTCCCTGGCTCTCAGCCTTCATAAGGAGTCCTGGGCAGTTGGTCCTCTGGGAAGCAAAGTTGTGAGGGCTCCTCAGCCTGGGAAGGTGACTGAGACAGGAAAAGTAGAAATATTAAAATCATGATGGAAACCAAGTGGGGGGGGGGAATCCTTTCCGGCTTCAGGGGATCCTCATCTGAGGCTCCAAAGAGGCCCTCCAGAGCCACAGGGACATTCAGGACTGAAAAGGAACTAGTGCATACTTATATGGTGGTGAGTGAACAGTCTCGAGGTTCCTGCCTCCTGCATCCTCTCTTCTGCCGCTCCAGGGTAAGCCACAGAATGAAATTGGAGACAGGTTCAGTAAAGGCTCTGAGGAAGCTCCAGATGACAGGGCCACGGGCAGTTCCTTGGGGAGGTGGGCAGCCTTGTCCTTTCACGTCTTTTCGGTTTCCCACATGCTGAAGGTGGGGGCTGGACCAGGTCTCCATTAAGGCACTGCTCGACTGTAGATCCCAGCATCCTAAGGCGCCAGCCAGTGAGCTTGACCTTGGGTGGATGGGTGGGGTCCGAACACTGCAGAGTTCAGCCCATGGTGGTGAGTTTGATGAATATTCTTGTAACCATCACCCAGTGACTGACGCCAGCTACTGCACAATCCTGGCCTGGACACTGGGGAGGCTGGGAGACAATCCCTTCCTGGGACTTTGGGAATTTGATGCCGTGCCCACTGACCAGGAGAAAGCAGCCTCTTCTGAGGTGGTGCAGGTGCCCTGGTGCCATTCCTGTGCTGCCTGCCTGATCAGAGGCACTGTTGGATCTCTCCCCTGGCCCTAGCATGCCCTCCTGGATCCTGAGCCCTGTGGGCTGGCAAAGAGCCAAGACCCATGTGCAGCTGTTGTGAGGGGCCCTGGGCTAGTGTGAGGAGTCCTGGGCTGGTGTGAGGACCCCAGCAAAGGTGTCAGGAGCCCTGGGCTGGTGTGAAGGGCCCCAGACTGGTGTGAGGAGTCCTGGGCTGGTGTGAGGACCCCAGCAAAGGTGTCAGGAGCCCTGGGCTGGTGTGAAGGGCTCCAGACAGGTGTGAGGAGTCCTGGGCTAGTGTGAGGGGTCTGGCTTTGGGTACCACCCCTGACCACCTGCCTGGCTTTAAATTTTGGTCCTTCTGTGACCTCAGGAAAATCCCTTCTCTCTGGGCTCCCACTTTAATCTGCTATGAAATGAAGGAACTTGGTGGGCTAGACACAACCTTGAAAGTTCTATAGCTCTCTCCTCTGACTCAGGCCCTTCATGGCTTCTGCCAACCCAGTGAGAGAGGGAGTGGAATGGGGGGCAGCCTGAGGGGAGAGGAGAGACAGCTAACAGCAGGAGTGATGGGGACCCTGCAGGAGTGGGCTGGGTGGCTGGCACTTAGCAAGGCAGTGAGTCTGGCAGAAGGGCTACCTTTTGGCTAGCCAACTGGCTTGGGGCAGTACCAGCCCATAGGCTTTGGCTTCATTCCAAGGAAGTGGTATCCTGGGGTGGCTGAGGGGAGCTGACATGTGTTAGAAACCCACCAGACGTCTCTTCAGAAGTGGGTGATAGGGTGGCAGCTGTATGGCTGTATATGGAACCGGGCTGCTGTATTTTTAATGCACATTCACAAGGCATTTACCAGAATGGGGTCCCACAGCAGAAACCTCAGTGCAAGACAGGTCTGAGGCCCCCAAATGCCCTTGGCTTTGCAGCCTGAACAGAAGGAAGGGGATCCTCCCTGCTGACTGGGGGAAGGTATGGGAGGAGCCTCGAGTGCCTATTTGGAGGCTTTGGGGAATGTGGAGTGTGCTCTGTGCCTACAGACCCTGCAGCCTGACAGATGGAGGGGAAGCCTGGATGCCAGGCTGAGGAGGGAAAGAGGAAGCTCAGACTACTTTCTGGAATCCCCCTCTCCTTGACTTTGGGGATCCCCAGTATTCATTGTGATCCCCTCAGGGGCCCATAAGGCTTTGGTCTTCAGGGTTGCTAGGGATGTACCCACGGGAGGCCAGTGTCTGGCCCAGACCCCAGGCCATCTGAGGGACACACCTGCCCACCAGCTCTGCAGACTTTGATTTCAAGCTTCAATCTGGCTTACTGCAGGCAGGAGTCTCAACCATGGCCAAGATGTCTGCAGCACCTGGGGCAACAACCATTACAAGACCTTTGATGGGGTTGTCTACCAGTTCCCTGGACTCTGTGAATACAACTTTGCTTCGGACTGCCTTGACACATACAAGGAGTTTGCTGTCCACATCCAGCGTGGCCTGAATGAGGATGGCCACCCCCATATCGCCTACATCCTGGTCACAGTCAAGGACGTCACCATCTACCTCACCTACCAGCTCGTGGTTGTAGATGGGGAAATGTGAGTCATGGGAGGGGGAGGGTTGAAAAGAGAGTGGAGGCCGCCATCTTGGCGTGCTCAGTTCCTGTTGCCCCACCCAATATCCTAGCAAAGAGGCATCTACCCACCACACACATCACCGCGACAGCACCCATACCTGGTGCCCATGGGCAGGAAGACCTGGTTCTAGACCTGGGGCCTGGAGACAGGCTTGGGCTCCTGGTTAGGAGGTACTGGGGGTTGTCTCATCCAATATTGTCCCTTTACAGAGGAGGAGGCCTGGGCGGGAGTGGTGGTGGGGAACTTGTCCAGGATCTCACAGCTAATACAGAGCAGAACCAGGGTTTGAACTAGGATATCCAGCTCTCAAACCAGGGCCTTTCTACCACACCCCACCATATCCCAGGCCAGGGGAAAAGTCGACTTCAGAGATAAGCAGGTCCTAGGCTCTTCAGACGGCAGAGCTAGAAAGGCCTTTAGTTGACAGAGTAGCAAATGGAATCTCCAAAAAGAATGGGGAGGAGACTTGACCAGGGTCACACAGCATCAATGGGTAGCTGACCCAGGGCTGTGTGTGCGTCATCTGTCGGACTGTTTCCATCAATTGTATTTTTCTCTGCTGCCTCTGAGGTGAGTGTCTCAACTCCAATGAATCGAGGTACAGCGTGCTCCCTGCTTCCTCTGGAAATCGCTGCTGTTCCACAGCCTGGGGCAGGGTTGTGGGGCTCAGGAGCAGATGAGGAAGAGGGGCAGGGATGAAGCCCAATCCCAGGACTCCATTCCTGCTCTGTGAGCTGTGCTGGCCTCAGACATGGCTGTTTGTAAAGGACAAAGGGATTGGTGTAATTCACACCGAGGTAAAGTTACCAAGGAAGTGTCCTGTTTAAAGGGACAAAGAGCAGAGGACAGCTCCCACCTTCTCCTGGCCTCGAGATTGTTCCTAAGACAAAGACTTCATTGTGGACCCGTTGGGCTGGCTGGCCAGAGCAGGAGGAGCATCTCTTTCCTAAGATTTCATTGCCTTGCTGTCCTCGTGTCGCAGCCCTCAGCACCTTTGCTGGGGTCATGGGATGAGGCTGGGCTCCCCGTCCAGATGGAAGCTGTTAAGGGCATCCATTGTCATGCCCTGGAAGCTGCGACCCCAGCTCTCCGTGCCCCCTTTAAATTCCCAGCTGTGGGACATCGCTCCTGAGCTGGTGAATGACTCTGTTGGTCTGTGTTGGAAGGGGTCAACCGGGTGGCCCTGGGCAAGTCATTTCCCTTGGATCACCATCATCTTCCTCCTCTGTGAAATAGGGATAATCGCGTGTGCACCATCTGTCTCCAGGACTGTGCTGAGGAATGTATTGTCAGCCTTACAATGCTGTAGCAATATCAGCGAGTGCTGGTCTTTGATTGACTTGTGCATGTGAAGGCTAGCCTTTGCAGGATGCCATTCCCCGCCCCCCTTCCCCTGCCCCCCAGCCCAAGACCTGCAGTTCAGGCAATTGCCACTAGGTGGTGGTGGTGGGCTGGGTTTGACTAGTTTCATGGTCCAGCCAAGGAGACTTTCCCTAGGCATGGAGAGCTGAGCGAAAATGGGAAAAGACGGATTTCCCAGGAATGTCTCACACCTACAGAGCAACTTTCTGTGTCGAAACCCCTTCCACACAGAATTTCTTCCCTTGCTCTCCAGAGCAGCTCTTCGGCTGCCTTCCCATGGGTGTCGCAGGCAGAGCAGGGATTATAAACTCTCCACTTTAGATGAGAAAGCTGAGGCTGCAGACCCAGCTCTAGACTGCCCAGATACCGTGTGCGGGGCTCAGACACCATGGCCTGGGCTCTCTAGAATGAATGCTCTCCGCTGGGGTTGGTTCGCATTCTAGATGTTGGCTCCTAGCAAAAAGGTCCACGCATTGTGGTGGGTTCTAGCCAATGGGGGCGGGGTAGCCAGCATGGGACAAAGAAAGGACTCCTCTTTGCTCCCTGCCCTGCTCCATCTGCCTGTGTGCACAAGCTCCAGCTATCACTAGCAAGGGACTGGGCACAACAGCTGAAAGCCTGGGCCCAGTCTGAGGCGGCAGAGGGTGGGGATCAGCAGTGAGGCCACAGCCGCAGCAGCAGGCAGCCTGCGTGAACCTGAGGCACCAGACATGGTCTCTCTAGCTCTCTCATCTTACAGAGGAGGAAACTGAGCTCCAAAGAGAGGGAGTGACTTGCCCAAGCTAATGTAGATACCCGAAGGAACCAATGTCCAAGAATAAGTCTCCAGAAAGAAATCTTTGGCAAGGACAAAAAAAGAGCGGTGGAAGCCTGGCACCACTTTCCTTTGCTTTCTAAAGACCTTGGGGTATCCTGGTTGAGTTTCCCTAAGCTCTGGGCTTAGTGCAAGGGAGGGAGGGAGGGAGGGAAGAAGAGAGAGAGAGACAGAGAGACAGAGAGAGGAGAGAGAGAGACAGAGACAGAGACAGATTCAGAGAGAGACAGACACACACAGCGAGGGAGAGAGAAAGAGAGACAGAGAGACAGACACACAGTGGGGGAGAGAGAGAGAGAAAGAGAGAGAGAGACAGACAGAGACAGATTCAGAGAAAGAGAGAGACACACACAGTGAGGGAGACAGAGAGAAAGAGAGAGAGAGACAGACAGAGACAGAGACAGAGAGACAGACATACAATGGGGGGGAGAGAGAGAGACAGAGAGAGACAGAGACAGAGAGAAGAGAGGCAGAGAGACAGAGAGAGAGACAAACAAACACAGTGGTGGGGGAGAGAGAGAGAGAGAGAAGAGGGAGGGAGGAAATCAGGCTCAAGGGTTGGGATGGGGAGGAGGCTGAAGGCTGGGAGCAGACAGACACTTTCCAGAGGCCCCCCCAAGGGGCTGGTGTGCTTGTGGCCCAGGTGTGTGAGATCAGTGGTGGGGAGGGGCAGCAGACCCACTGGGGAAAACAGAGAAGCCTCTTATTGGGGCAATGAGAGAACAGCATCTTGCCCATGGCAGTACCTGATAACCCAAATCACCCAGCTGCCCTTGCCACTTCTGTCATGCGGATGAGCCTCCAAGGAAAGGTCTTAGCAGCTAGGAGTCCAGGCCAAGGACTCCCTTCCCCCAGCCTCCCCTGCCCCATCTCCCCACATCTCCTGGGAGGCTCGGGGGCCTTGGCCAGTTGCTGGGGCCCACAATTTCTGGGAGTTCCTCAGTGTGGCTCAGCCCAGATACACTGTAATGCTTTCTTGCAGAGTCCAGGTGCCCTACTACAGCTCCGGGCTCCTCATTGAGAAGAATGATGTCTACACCAAGATTTACGCCCGAGTGGGCTTTTCCCTCATGTGGAACCTCCAGGATTCCCTCATGGTAAATGAACTCTCTCTGGGCACAGCAGCTTCCCTGGCCACTAGTCCCCAGGATGCTCAGGGCAAGAGAAGGTGAGGGGAAGCCTGCCAGCAAGGCTCCCAGAGGGGAGTGCATCAGCGTACCCCAGGAGAGCAGGAGGGGAAGGCCTGGAAGGGGCCAGTGGCCTCGGGGTGGGGGATGGGTAGCACGCTGGAGTGTGTCGCTCTCGCTCTCTCTGCCCCAGGCCTGCTCCAGCCAGCAGCGCTGCAGGGAGCTGACCGTCCCTTGCGTGCGGGCTGCCAGTCTTACTGCCTCTGTCTTCTTTTTCCACTTCTTGCTCTTCCTTCTGCTCTGCTCAGCTCGAGCTGCACGGTAAATTCCGCAACCATACCTGTGGTTTGTGCGGGGACTACGACGGCAGGCAGATGGACTCCCAGTTCAACGATGATGGTAGGTGGCCCCCCTCCCCCACCCAGGGGGCTCAGCAGGGGCGGGAGAGGGAGGGAGGGGGGCCCAGATACACGCGGCTCCCCGCTCTCCCCGCCAGGACTTATCTTCAGCCCCATAGAATTTGGGAACATGCAGAAGATTAACCAGCCGGATGATGTGTGTGAGGACCCAGAAGAGAAGGCCCCTGAGAACTGCTCAGAGCACGTAAGCAATTCCTGGAGGAGGAGTCTGGGGGCTGGGCTGGTGGATGGCCAGGACTCCTGGAAGGCTGTGGCGGGGGGAGCCGACGAGATGGCGATGCAGAGGTGTGCTGGCGAATGTTTAACAACCAGTTCTCCAAAAATAAAATCTGGGGGCGAAACACTTTTAGGTTTAGTCTCTGTGATTAACATGTTCTCATCACTTCCTAAAATCTAGACCATCGATAGAACACCAATTCAAGTCCTGATTTAGAGAATTTGTCAATTTCTGATGTGTAAATGCTCACACTGAAAATTTAACAACTGGCTCTTGTGAGGTAGTTGAAGATGGCTCCTACACACTTGTGTGCATGTTCCCTTCCTTCTTTCCCTCAACCTCCCTTCTTTCCTTCCTCCTTCCCTTTCTTCTTTCCTTCCTCCCTCCCTCCTTTCCTTCCTTCTTTCCTTCCTCCCTCCCTCCTTTCCTTCCTTCTTCTCTTTCTTCTTTCCTTCCTCTCTTCTTCTCTCCCTTCTTCCCTTTCTTCCTCCTTTCCTCCCTCCCTCCATTCCTCCTTCCCTTCCTTCCTCCTGCCTTCCTTCCTCCCTCCCTCCCTTCTTTCCTTCCTTCTTCCTTCCTTTCTCCCACTATCCATCCCTCCCTTCTTTCCTTCCTTCCTTCCTTTTTTTTTCCTTCCCTCCCTTCCTTCCTTCCTAACTCCCTCTTTTCCTCCTTTCTCCCTCCCCTTCCTCCCTCCATTCCTCCTTTCCTTCCTTCCTAACTCTCTCTCCCTCCCTTCCTTCCTTCCTTCCTTGCTTCCTTCCTTCCTCCCTCCCTCCCTCCCTTCCTTCTTTCCTTCCTTTCCTTCCTCCTTCCCTTCTTCCCTCCCTCCCTTCTTTCCTTCCTTCCTTCTTTTCCCCCCTCACTTCCTTCCTAACTCCCTCTTTTCCTCCTTTTCTCCCCCCTTCCTCCCTCCATTCCTCCTTTCCTTCCTTCTTTCCTAACTTCTCTCTCTTTCCCTCCCTTCCTTCCTTTCTCCCTCCCTTCCTTCCTAACTCCCTTCCTTCCTGCCTGCCTGCCTGCCTACCTGCCTCCATCCTCTCCAAAATGCCCAAGGAGGAACAGCAGAGAGCTTACACCCTGATGTGGGCCTAGGTCTGCTAAAAGCTCTGCTGAGGCAGGAGCCAGAAAGGTGCTAGGGTCAGCTCAAGGACGGAGTAGACTTACGAATGTGGTCCTCCCCTCTCTCCACCAGCACACCCAGTGTGAGAATCTCTTGATGTCAGCGGCCTTTGACGACTGCCAGGCTGTTGTACCAGTGGAGATGTACGTCCAGGCCTGTATGCAGGACCTGTGTCAGTGTGAGAAGAACACCTCCTTCTGCCTGTGTAGTACTGTCTCAGAGTTTTCCCGCCAGTGCTCACATGCTGGAGGCCAGCCCCACACCTGGAGGAATGACACATTCTGCCGTAAGTGTCCATGGAGGGCCAGGGCTGGGGCCGTGGGAGAGCCCTTCAGGAGCACTGGCTGAGCAATCTCTACTGCCCGAGGTGGAAGAGCTGGGGCAACTGTCCATTCTCTGGATAGTGTCTCTGTGTCTTGGAGACAGTGAAGACAGCTGGCCTCACTCTTCCTGGCCCACAATTCCCCTTTGGGTTCTGAAGGGCCCAGTCTGGCTGTCTACACCAGGCAGTACAGGTATGGGGACAAAAGCCCATTCTCCCATGTCGCAGTCATTCCAGATGTGGCTCGGGCACTCTGTGGGTTCTGGGGGGGTCTCCCCAGCTGAAGGGCCAGCAGCTCCTCTTATGGCTCAGTCAGACCCTTCCCTTCATTTCTGCTCCCCCATTGCTCTCCCCCAACCTGCCTGACCCAGGACCAGATCCCTGCCCCCAAGGCATGGCAGAGAAGCAGGCCCATGAGAAGATGCTTTGTAGAGGGTTGAGGGGGAGCCTTGCCCTCTCTGCTGCTCCCAGGAATAATCCTTGATCCTGGCACTGCTGCTGCTGCTCCCTGAATATCAACTTCCCTCCTTCCCAGTAGGAGGAATGATGACTATTCTACTCTCTCCTCTTTCCTTTGTCTCTGGAGGGCAGCTTAGAACACTGAGCTGGGTCTGGAGGGGGAGGGGACCTAGAACTGGTCTAGAGAGAAGCTTACACCTCTGGTAGAGGGAGAAGAAAGGGACTAGAATGGGCAGATGGGAATTGTATCCCTGACTTTGGCCTCTTTGGAGGGTACATTCCTTGGTCTTCCTTTGTTTGTGGCTGGGTAAATCTGCAGGGCCATTTCCTTAACCAGTCAGGTTTTCCCAGGGAGGGCCTCAAGTGAGTGATACGTAGGCATTTTTGGTGAATTCCCAGGGTGGCAGGGAGGGAAAGAGGCAGAAGCTTGGTGCTGTCCATGGTCCTTACACCAAGACCCCTGTGGGTGGGCTGGCAGTGGGCCAGCCTTGGGGTGAGTCTCCAGGGCTACAAAAGCCTTGGAGGACCGGCAAAGAAGGTTTCTGGGGAAGAGGTGTGGCCTGTGACCTGAGAGTACTTTTCCAAGTCTGGGAGTTGACAGGCTTGTGTGGAGATGATGTCTCTAAGCTTGGCCTCATCGGCATTATGCCAGCTGGCTGAGCTGGCCATCCCAGACCAGCCCGGAGCTTCAGGGGAGACATGACTTCTCGGGCCCCAACTCCTGCCTGAGGCTTGTTACCCAATTATGGAGACCTATACACCATGAAGGCTTCTTCCTTTGGCATAGTCTGCACCTGGCTCTCGTGCTTCCATGCTCAGCCTCAGGAGCCCGTCATGTAGGTAGAGTCCACAAGAATGTGCCCACTGAGTTTCCCAAACTCATTAGGCCTTGTCTCTGTGCATTCCAGCCAAGACCTGCCCTGGTAACATGGTCTACCTGGAGAGTGGCTCTCCCTGCATGGACACCTGCTCCCACTTGGAGGTCAGCAACCTCTGTGAGGAGCACTACTTGGATGGCTGCTTCTGCCCGGAGGGTGAGCAGCTGCCAGTGGGTGGGGCTCCTAGTACCCAGTCTCATCTTCTTCTGGCTGCTTCTGCCTGGAAGAGGCTGGCGTTGAAGACAGGGCCCACATTTGTTGGGAGGATCCCTTCCAGGGCTATCCACACTGCTCCAGAGAGGCAGAGCCCAAATCCAGAGAACTGGTGGGAGGGCCTTTAAACAGCCCCCTCCTTCTATCCCTGAGTGCCCACTTGCTATAAAGAGAGAGAGAAATGCCTAACCTGTAAGCAGCAAGTCCTTGGCTCCCTACATCTGGGTGCCTGACTTTCCTAATCATGAACGATCAGAGATTTGTCATTTCAGCACCATTCCCTGAGTGCTTGGTATGTGCAGAGAGTCTGGGCACTAGAGGTGGTGGTGCTGGAGGAGGAACAGGGTGAGACAAAGTCCCAAGAACTGAGATGCCTATGCTGAGGGGCTGGCTCTCTCTCAGCAGCCCTGTGAGGCTCCCTTGAAGCCCCCTGGGGCAAGGCCTCCAGCAGAAGGGCCTCAGCTGCCCCCTGCCTGCTGCAGGCTTTAGGCTCAGCTCAGCCCTCTTCTCCCTTGCCCAGGAACTGTGTATGATGACATCATGGGCAAAGGCTGCATCCAGGTGAGTCAGTGCGGCTGCAAACTGCATGGACACATCTATGCCCCCGGGAAGCAGATTACCAGCAACTGTGAGGAGTGGTGAGTACAACATGGGGCTGCCCTTCCCGGGCCTTGTTCTTGGCCTCGGAGGTGAGGGCCAGGGAGCAGAGGCAGAGGGGGCATCAGGGTGTGGGAGTGACGGTCTGCTGACTCCCCCTTCTGCTGTCTATCTGTGCAGCATCTGTGATGCTGGCCGGTGGGTGTGCAAGGACCTGTCTTGTCCTGGCACGTGTGCCTTGGAAGGTGGAGCCCACATCACCACTTTTGATGGGAAGAAATACACCTTTCATGGAGACTGCTACTACATTCTGACCAAGGTACCAAGGGAGTCCTATGTGCCTGGATGGTGGTGTAGCAAGTGATGGCTTGGAGTGCTCTGAGCACTCCATCCTTGCTCAGGGCCTTGAGAGATCCCAGCATGTGGCTGCCCACCTTTCAGCTGCACAGAGCCTTGGGCACTCACCCTGGGAATACTGGGAGCTGACAGGGCTTGGGCCGCCCCAGAGTCAATGTAGGGCCCAGAGACCACTCAGGGTGAGTCATGGGGGTCCTGAGACTTTGGGCTCTGGGGTAACAGGTAGCAGCTTCCTTCCTCAAAGTCTGTGGGCAGGAGTTTGGTCCACATTTATTCAGTCTAACAATGTCATCTAGGTCAAATGAAAGGACGTATGTAAAGCACTTTGCAAACTATACAGTGCTTTTTTTTATCCATCCATCCACCCATCTGTCTGTCTATTCATTCACCCATCCACCCACCCACCCATCCATCCATCCATCCAGTGAAACCTTGATGAAGGAACCACTGGTCCCTCACTTTGGACCACTGGGTCCAAAGCATCATTAGGCATCGAGGGATCACAGAGTTTAGAGGAGACTGCTGTGCCCACCTTGTTGACTCTACTTAAGTACGGCATGGGGAAGCTAGAGAGTACCACAGTACACAGAGAGATGAAGTGAGGAAGATCTGAGTTCAAATCCAGTCTCAGACATTAGTTGTATGACCTTGGGCAAGTCACTTATTTTCTGTCTGCCTCAGTTCCTTCAACTGAAAAATAGGGATAATAATAGCATCTACCTCCCCAGGTTGTTGTAAGGACCAAATGAGATCATATTTGTAAAAAGTACTAAGCACAGTGCCTGGTATATAATAGGTGCTGTATAAATGCATATTCCCTCTGCCCTTCCCTTCCCTACAAGAGCTGTTGGGAGGCCAGCCAGCTGGGAGGCCACATTTTGGGGAGGAAGGTCACCTTTACTTTTATCCCTCATCTTCCATACCATGGACACATTGCTCATTTCAGTGCCCTCTGGGAACTCCTGTGATGATGGTCAAGGTTGATCCTTCTGTTCTGATGTCTAAGAAAGTTTTGGTGACCAAAAGTCCTAGACAGAACAATACTTCCTTGGCAGAAATATGAAATGTCTTTTGACTGGAAAGGCTTCCTACAGGTCAGAAGCCTCCAGCAGCTCCCAATTGTTTTCAAGTTACATTCTGAACTTTCTGCTTGGCATCTCTTCTCCACCATAGCCTGGCACCAGCCTTCTTTATAAAACTTCTCTACATGCACTAGATTCCACCTGAACAGGAGAACCGTTTGCCTCCCAAACATACCTTGCATTGCCCCACCTCTACACCTTTGTTCAGGCCATCCCCCCACCTGTAATGCCCTCCCTGGCCCTTCTTCGCTTGGTGAATCCTTACTCACCCTTTAAGGATTATGTGCTCAGCCCTGCACAGAGGACTGTGCTTGCCCCTCTTGGAGGCTGGGATCATGGGTCATTGTGTTTGTGTCTCATCCCTGAATGACCAGGAGCTTGACTAGGGCAGGGGCCCAGGCCTGGATCTCTTGGGGCACCCGTGGGGACCAGAGGGCACATGTTGGGTCCACGCAGGGCTTCTCATGGGTCCCAGCTTTAGCAGCATCCTCTACTCACCTTGGCTGCAGGGGGACAGCAATGACTCCTATGCCCTCCTGGGAGAGCTGGTGCCTTGTGGTTCCACAGACAAGCAGACCTGCTTGAAGACGGTTGTGTTGCTGACTGACAAGAAGAAGAACGTGAGTGTCCCTCTCTGCCCATGGGTGGCCCCAGCCTGTTCAGCTGGCTGGCTTCTCCAGAGTTAGCTCCCAGGGAAATAATATAGGAAATGGGGTGCAGAAGTCTATCCTGCCCTACAGGAAAATAGAAGGGGAAGGGGATAAGAGAAGGGGAGAGAGATAGAAGAGAGGACAGAGTAGGGGAAGGGATAGTCAGAATGCATGACATCTTGGGGTGGGGGAGGGGGGAGATGGGGTGAAAATATGGAACTCAAAAACTTGTGGAAGTGAATGTTGAAAACTAAAAATAAATAAATTTATATTAAGGAAAAAACAAACAAACAAACAAAAAACAGAGTTAGCTCCCAGGGGCTGAGGCTGCCAAACCTTGTCCAGCCACTCGGGGACCAGTACAGGAGCTTTGTGGGGTCCCAGGACATACAGGGCAGGTACCTCCTTGGACTTCAGTACAGCAGGCCCTTATCAGATACCATGTGGCCTATAAAACCTCTGGAGGTGTTTAATTAGGGTGATACCCACCCTGCAGGAGACATAGCTACCAGGGGGCTGTGTAATCTAACGTGTTAAGATCTTATGGGATGGGTGAGCCCAAGGGGCTATGCTGCAGCGATGTGGCAAGATTTCAGTGGCCAGGCTCTCACCTGAACTCAGTATCCAGGATACCCATGTGTCAGGCTGCCTGGTGGGCATTGCCTGGTGGTGAGCCATGTCTATGCATCTCTCTGAACGCTTCAGAGCCAGAGAGCTCAGCTCAGTGAAGCATCTCCAATGCAAGGCTGTCCTTTTCCAAGGACATCACTCACCTCCTCAAGCTCCTTCCCTCCTCCAAAGTCCTGGAGTAGATGGAACTGAAACACGAGACCTTCCCCTGGGGCTGTGCAATAGGGGATGCTGGCCACACGAGCACTTTCCTGCCTCCTCTATTTCCCTGCAGATTGTGGTGTTCAAGTCTGATGGCAGCGTGCTCCTGAATGACTTGGAAGTCCACCTACCACACATCACTGGTGAGCCTGGCCATAGAAGGCAGGGGCAAAGTCTCTATTCCCTCTGCCAAGCAGAGCCCAGAAGCAGGGAAGGCACATGGGGCAGGGGAGCCCCATCCTAGTGAGGGGGGAAAGGACTTTGGGGAATTCCTCAGGATGCATCTTGGACATCCACAGCATTACTCTTTTTTTTTGTTTTTAAGGCAATTGGGGTTAAGTGACTTGCCCAGGGTCACACAGTTAGTAAGTGTTAAGTGTCACAGCATTACTCTGAAGCTGTCCACAGCTCCTCAAGTAGGCCTTCCCAGCTGTTGCTTGGGGGAGGGAGCATCAACAGCTGTTGGGCTGTTGGGGAAGGTAAGTCACCTCCACTGAGGCCAAAAGAGAGAAGCCAGCTTGTCCAGGGTCCCGAAGGCAGGACTCAGGCCGAGGCCCCCAGTGCGAGGCCGGTGCCTTCTTCCCTCCTTGGCTTACTGCCCTCTCAAAGAGTGACTCCTGTTTTCCCCTGTTGCTCTGACTTGCAGCAAGCTTCTCCATCTTCCAGCCCTCCTCCTACCACCTCATCGTGCACACAGCCTATGGCTTCAGGTTGCAGATCCAGCTGGTGCCCCTCATGCAGCTGTTTGTGACCATGGACCAGGATTTCCAGGGCAAAGTTCAAGGTGGGGGCTCTCAGGCATTCTCTCTGTAGTCTGCCCCAAACCTGGGCCTGGGGGCTTCCCTCCTGGATCACTGCCGCCCATTTGCTTCCTTTCTTTTCTGCGTCAGGTCTTTGTGGGAATTTCAACGGTCTAGAAAGTGATGACTTCCAAACGGCAGGAGGCCTCATTGAGGCCACTGGCTCTGGCTTTGCTAACACTTGGAAGGCCCAGTCCAGCTGCCAGGACAAACTAGACTGGCTGGATGACCCTTGCTCTCTCAGCATTGAGAATGGTAAGGTTGGCTCTGCCTTCCAAGCCCTTGTCTGCCTCTCTTCACCTCTGGGTCCTTTATCTCCAGCAAGCTGCCAAGCACGTGGATGCCCACTTGGGGTGGCAAGTGGTCTGGGCCAGGGTGGTTTGTCCAGGAGAAGCGGGTGGTGGGCAAGCTTTCTGTTCATAATTGAACTCTACAGATCTGTCTGCCCGCACTTCCTGTCCCCATGGCCTCCTTTGGCACATAGGGGTAGAGAAGAGCCCAGAGGGTGCTCTGCCAAGGGGCACAAGCTGAGAGGCTGGGACCCGGGCCAGTCCAAGTGCATGCGCTTCTTGGGCCACAGACGCAGTATGAGGAGGAGTGTTGTGCCCCTTTCCTTCTCCCGGAATGGATGGACCTGAAACAGTGTCTGCCCTGCTTTCTGCCCCACCCCCAGGGTAGACTCCCATCCTTACACACTCACACACACTTTCACACTTATACCCACTTTCACTATACTCTCTCCCTCCCCTCTCCTTCTCCTCTTTCTCCCTCCCCCTCCCCCCATCTCTGAAGATGATGAGTGTGCTGTAACAACAGAATGGGGTTCTCAGAGCTCCTGGGTCTCTCGGTGGACCTGAGAAATTTAACCACTCCTTCCCTCCACTCTTCTCCTTCCTCCTCAGCCAATTATGCAGAGCATTGGTGCTCGCTGCTGAAGAAGACAGAAACTCCCTTTGCCAGGTGCCACTCAGTTGTGGATCCTGTGGAATATTACAAGGTGAGAGGTCTGGGATTCAATCTGCGACAGCTCACCTGAGGCCGGGCCAGGCTGATCTGACCGGATCTGGTCCTGAAGACACTTATGGATGATTATTAGGCGGAAGGCAGGCCTCGCAGAGTGAGGGCTGTGGCTGGGTTGGGGAAGGCTGTGTGATTGACCCGAGTGCCACAGGGTGGGAGGCGCTATCCTGAGAGACGGAAACAAACATGACCCGGGACCCCATCATGTCTCCGTCCTCCCCATCTTCACTAGTACAAGGTCTGGCGTGAGGGAGAGAACAGGACTTTATGAAGCACCTACTGTGTGCTGGGCTCTGTGCTGAGTGGCACCAAATACTCTCTGGTCTGATCTTCACAACTACCCTGGGAGGCGGGTGCTGCTATTATCCCCATTTTACAGTTGAGGAAACTGAGGCAGGCAGAGGTGAAGTGACTTGCACAGGGTCATCCAGCTAGTAAGAGTCTGAGGTCAGATTCGAATTCAGGTCTTCCTGGTGTCAGGTCCAGTCCTCTATCCACTACACGGTGCAGAAATTGGGACTGAGCAAAGTGAACTGACCCTGGGCTCACGGAGGAGGGAATCTGGGAAGCTTCATGGGAGAAGTGGCCCTTGAGATGGCCCTTGAAGGAGGGGGCAGAGGATCAGGCCCGGCACAAGGGGGAGGGGGGGGACACACTCCAGACAGTGCAGAGAATCTGGGTGAGAGCTCCCCTCCATGAGCATTGTGTCGGGATGAGGTGCCGAGCAGCAGGGGAGGGACTGGCACAGGGTGCTCTGCCCGAGGTGCTAGCCAGGGCAGGCAGCCGCAGAGAGGCTGGGCTGTTTGCACCCCCTGGCAGGGAAGGCGACCTGTTTGTGGCTGGGTCTGCCCATTCTCTCCAGTGTTGTATTGATCCTAGGGGGCTCAGCAGCCTCCAGAAACCTAAGCCTGGCAGGGAGGGAAAAGGGAAGAAAGACTCTTGGTGGTCACCGCAATTCTTCCTAGCCCTCGGCTCCTCTATCCTCCGTCTCTCAGGGGTCCTTAACCCTCATTTTCCTTGTTTTGTGATTCTAGAGGTGCAAATATGACACCTGCAACTGTGAGAACAATGAGGACTGCATGTGCGCCGCTCTCTTCTCCTATGCCAGAGCCTGCTCTACCAAGGGGGTTGTACTGTGGGGCTGGCGGGAGCTAGTCTGCAGTAAGTGCGCAGCTCCATCCACAACCGGCTGGCTGCGACGGGGGAGGGGAGGACACGGTGACGTCTGAGGCTCCATCGTGGCCACAGACACTGACCTGAGTTTTTGGGCATGGGGGTGGGGGAGAGGAAGGCCACACCTGAGAGCTTCCCGGGAAGCCCAATGCCATTCGCTTATGTGCAAGCCCTCATGTTTCCTTGCTGGAGCATGCAGGGATTTCTAAAGATGTCCTAGAAAGCAAATCTGCTCAAGTGGAGTTAAGGCAGCCTTGCAGGTATAACGCCCAAAGTGCCAGAGACGCGTTGTCTCAGTTCCACTCTGGGAAAAGCAGAGAGGTGCTTTAAGTGTGGATAGAAAGGTGGCAATGAGACTTAAGCTTCTATCCTCAGGGACCTGAGTGTTGGCCCCTGGCCCTGGCTTCTCAGCCATGAGCCCCCCAACCCCACCCCAGCATGATGCTCTCTGACCGAGGCTTGTGGTGCAGGGAGACAGAGCAGGGGGCCCCTGGTGCGAACGCGAAAGAGTTGACTCTGCTCTCCGTCTCGCCTCTGTGGGGATGAGATGGAGAAAAGTCTGGTAGTATCCTAGCTTGGCCTATCCCTTTGGCAGGTGATGTTTCTGCTAGATTCAGAGATGAGAGAGATGTAGGTGACTGGCTGCTGTGCTTGGCTCAGTCTGGAGGCTGGGTATCAATTACTTTCTGGATCACTCACTATTTTTCCCATTTTCCCACCCAGACGAGGACGTCACATCTTGCCCCAATTCCCAAATCTTCCTGTACAACCTGACCACATGCCAGACCTGCCACTCACTCTCAGAGGCAGACAAGCATTGTCTCAGGGGCTTTGCTCCTGTGGATGGCTGTGGCTGTCCTGATGGCACCTACATGGATGAGAAAGGGCGTTGTGTGCTCCTCTCGAAATGCTCCTGCTACCACAGAGGCTTGTACCTGGAAGCAGGAGAAGTGGTTCTAAAGCAGGATGAGCGCTGGTGGGTGCCCTGCTGGGCTCTGCTCCAGTCATCCTTCACCTGGGCTGGGAGAAGGGAATCAGAGAGGGTCCCTTGGGGTAGCTACTTGGACAGAGGTTTGACTGGGGGAGAATGCAGGGAGAAGCAAGGGCCCCTCTCCATTGGCTCTACTTTGCCTCAGTATAGCTTGGCTTAGAGCTGTGAGGACCGCTGTGGCACAGTCTTGCAGCTAGTGAGCAGAGAAGTGGAACTCAAGCCTGGCCCAGTGAAATTCTTTCTGCTCTTGCCTCTGGGTACCAGGGTGGGGGCAGGGATGGATCCAGAGGGCACTGCGTCAGGTCTTTGTGGGAGGAGCTGAGATATTGGCTGTCTCCTCTCTGCTGCTGGTTTGGAGGTGCAGAGCAAGTGGCTGCTCCTTCTATCTGTTTGACTCATGGTCCTTTGTTCTTTCCAGTGTCTGTCAGAATGGGAGGCTGCATTGTATTCAAGTGAAGCTTATTGGTCAGAGTAAGTAGGCACCTCAGCCTGGGGAAGTTATTGATGGGGCTCCCCTGGCTGTTCATGCTCCTTCTTTTCTCTTGGGCCTCATGCCAACTTGTCCACAACCCCCACATCTCTGGCTATCCTTCTCCTCCTTTCTGGGACCCTGGGACCACCCTTCTCACATCCAGGTGCCCTCATGCCCCCCCCCCCACTTCTCTGGCTTTCCCTCTCCTCCATTCTGGGACCCTGGGAGCTGTCATTCTCATGCCCAGGTGCCCTCATGCCCATGTCCCCCACTTCTCTGGCTTTCCCTCTCCTCCATTCTGGGACCCTGGGGGCCATCCTTCTCATGCCCAGGTGCCCTTGTGCCCACATGCCCCACTTCTCTGGCTCTCATTCTGCTCCTCTCTGGCACCCTGGGGGCCTTCTCATGCCCAGGTGCCCTCATGCTTACATGCCCCACTTCTCTGGCTTTCCCTCTCCTCCATTCTGTGACCCTGGGAGCCGTCCTTCTCATGCCCGGGTGCCCTCACGCTCACATCCCCCACTTCTCTGGCTCTCATTCTGCTCCTCTCTGGCACCCTGGGACCACCCTTCTCATGCCCAGGTGCCCTCACGCCCACATCCCCCACTTCTCTGGCTCTCCCTCTCCTGTTCCTGGTGCCCTCTCATCCCCAAGGCCTGAAGGCTGGGCTCCATCTGATCAGTTCTCTCCCCACGACAGGCTGTGCTTTCCCCAAGATCCACGTAGACTGTGACAATCTCACAGCGTTGGCCACCCGGACGCCTCACCCCATCAGCTGCCAGAGCCTGGGGGGCGGCTATGTGAGTTGGGAGAAAACGCTGTCGCCGGCCTCCTGAGCAGGCCAGACCTGGGCTCCTCCAGTCGCCCTGGCCTTTTGCTCCTCAGCTGGGCTTTTCTCACTCCTTGAGTCCAGTTCTTGTCTGTTTTTGCTGCTCCTGGTGGAGGCCCGAGGCTCAGACTGGGGTAGAGGGGTAGGAGGTAGCTTCTGTCAGCAGTCCTGGGGTCCCACTGGCCTCAGTCTTGATGTCTGGGACACCTGGGACATGGGGCTGGCGGAGACCTGTCCTTTGCTGCAGGGAGGTTATACAGGGTCTCCCACATGCCTCTCCGCCCCATGGTGGAGTGCTCCGTAGTCCAGACCCGTTTAGCATCCTGCAGGGCCGGCTCTCATCGGCCAATCCTCCTGAAAGTTCCCTTGGTTCTGTACAGCTCAGGCAGCCTGAGGGCCTGAGGGCAGAGGGAGCCCAGGCCGGGCTAGGACAAAAGGTCTGCATGATGCTCATTAGGCCCAGGCTTCTGCCTAGAAGCTGGATGTTTTGTGGGGTGCCCCGGCAGGAGCTGCCCTCTCCTGGGGACAGATGCCTGGGCTCAGCTTGGTGGCCTCCCTGGAGGGGGCTGTAACTCGGGCTCCCTTTGCCCATCCTCTAGTACCAAACCGAATGCATCAGTGGCTGCATGTGCCCCCCTGGGCTGATCGATGACGGCCGAGGTGGCTGCGTCGTGGAGGAAGAGTGCCCGTGTGTCCACAACAAAGAGCTCTATTCACCTGGACAGAACATCACCGTGGACTGTAATACATGGTGAGAGAAGCGGGGGCTGCCTCCAGACCTCAGAGACCCTGTTAATGGGACGGTAGCACACCTGAGTCAGGGCCCTCCCATTGGAAGGACAGAGGAGTTCCCCAGCCCTGCTTCTGCTCCCTCTGCATCACTGACTGGGCCAGGATCCAGCCCTTTCCCAGGGAGCTCAGTTGACTGGTATGAGCCAAGCCTGTGGGCAAGGCAGGGTCCTAGGAGTGGCTCCCCTAAGCAGACACTTCCAGGCCTGGGGATAGGGACCTTTGCCCCTGGCACCTGGTGGAGTGGGCTTGGCAGGCAGCCTGTGAGATGGTGAACACTTTCTTGCCTGGCCTGCCCGTGGAAAGGTCTCATGCACACAGGCTTCCTGTAAAGCCAGAGGAGCGCTGGGCTAGGATCCCGGCTGTGCCGATTGCTGACTGTGTGACCTTGGACAAGGCCTCAGTTCCCCCATCCCTGAGATGGAGACCATGCCAGCTGCAGTCCTGACCTCAGAGGGCTCTTGTGTGAATCTTGGTATGCCCAAGAAATGGGGGCTCCTAGCTGAGGCCGAAGGCCGCACTTCTCCCCAGCTGAGAGGAGCCAGTGCTTCCCTCCAAGCTGATGCATGGCCTGGCTCCCTGGACCCCTTAAGCCTCCTCTGTCTCCCCAGCACCTGCCAGAGAGGGAGCTGGGTGTGCACCAAGTCTGTGTGCCATGGGACGTGCTCCATCTATGGAAGCGGCCATTACATCACATTTGACGGAAAGTACTATGACTTCGATGGACACTGCTCCTACGTGGCAGTCCAGGTGAGGCCAGGAAGCAGGATGAGTTCTCTGCCTGCCCAGGTAGGGCCTCTTTAGCACGCCCAAGCCAGGGCCACAAGCATCCATTAAGCGCCTACTTTGTGGTGGTGGGAGATATAAAGAAACATGAGAGGTTGTCTCTAGCCTGCCAAGGAGCATAGCCTCCTGCTTCAGGCATGCTTTGGCCAGCTGACAGCCACAAGGCCTGGCTGTGCCCATGTTCCCCTGTCCAACTGCGCTCCTCCCTTCCCCTTCCCCCCAGCACATCAGGGAGGGTGCTGCCTCCACTCTCACTCACTCCTGACTTCCTCCCTCTCAAGGACTACTGTGGTCAGAAAGACTCTCAGGGCTCCTTCAGCATCATCACAGAAAATGTACCCTGTGGAACCACAGGGGTGACCTGCTCGAAAGCCATTAAGATCTTCCTGGGAGTAAGTACTGCAGTGCTGTGGTTCAGACATGGGAGCAAGGCAGTGGCCCTTTCGGCTCTGTCCACCAGGGGTGCTCGTGTGTGTGTGTGTGTGTGTGTGTGTGTGTGTGTGTGTGTGTGTGTGTGTGCATGCACATGTGCATTCTGTCTCCCGGGGGCCCTCAGTGTGTGTTGAGGGGAAGGGGCGCCCCTGCTGATACCAGCCAATGAAGCTGCTCTACTTGGTGCCCTGCAGAGAACTGAGCTAAAACTGGAGGAGAAGCATCTATGGGTGATTCACCGGGACGTTGGGGAGCATGTGTCTTACATCACCCGGGAGGTGGGCCAGTACCTGGTCATTGAGGCCAGCAATGGCATCATTGTCATCTGGGACAAGAGGACGACTATGTTCATCAAGCTTGCCCCGACCTTCAAGGTGAGAGTTTCAGAACCTCAGCTGAGCCTCCTCTTTGAGGCTGAGCCTCCCCCAAGGGGGAGACTCCCCTAGGACCAGGGATAGAGAGCCATTGAGCCCAAACTCCTTAGTTTACAGATGAGGAAACTGACGTCCTGAGAGGCTAAAGGCCTGCCCAGAGTCTGAGGTAGAATTTGCACCCAGGTCTTTCTGAGTCCAAGTTCAGTGACATATTTATCCCATTATGTCTCTGAGAATTTCACTTTATCCTCCATCAGTGTTAGTCCTAGTCCTACCTCAGGATTTAGAGCTGAGGGGACCTCAGCCACCATTGAGTGCCACCCCCCACAACTTACAGAGGAGCACATCAAAACCTGAAGAAGGAGATGACTTGGCCAAGGGTCACATAGGAAGTAAGCAGCAGAGGTGATATTTGAAGCCAGGCCCTCTGATTCCAAATGCAGGCACCCCTTTAACCTTGGCATGTCGTACTGGCAGAGTGCTAATCCAAAAGATATGTCCCATCTCATGGTGTGCAATCAGGGAAGCCCTGCTTCTTGGCCCCACCAACATGAAAGGAGGAATGTGTATGTTGGGGGAGGATGAGGAAGGAAAGGCCTTCCCCCTGAGCCTGACCCATTTTGAGAGCAGCCCCACTTTGGGGCAATGGGCATCTGACCTCTCTGCCATCATGGACTAACCCTGCCACAAAACAAGAGCCCAGCTTTCCTGATCTAGCTTGGGGCATGTCGCAGGGGCTACTTTGGGCCCTCAGGAGGGATGGGCCTGGAGGGGGAATGTGCACTAGAGGAGCAGGAGGTGAGGGTGGGCTGCAGTTCTGGCCACATGACTGTCCAGGCAAGAAGACGGCTGACATGTGCTAGACAGAGGCTGAAACTGGGAGCGAGACCAGAATTCCTCCCTGCCCTCCCCTCCTGGCTTCTGACACAAGACTACACATGTACACACATACACACATGTGCATAGTCCTGAGGTGACCCCAGATTGCCTTCATAGAATACCGTGTGTGGCCTGTGTGGCAACTTTGATGACCGCTCTAGCAATGACTTCACCACAAGGGATCACATGATTGTCACCAGTGTCCTGGAGTTCGGGAATAGCTGGAAGGAGGCCCACACCTGTTCAGATGTGGACCAGACCTTTGAACCATGCACTGTGAACCCTCACCGCCAATCCTGGGCAGAGAAACAGTGCAGCATTCTGAAGAGCCAAGTATTTGGTGTCTGCCACAGCAAGGTGGGTGGGCAGTCCTGGGGGGAATACAGGCAGGATGGGAAGGAGGACGGGTTGCTGCCCCACTTCCCCAGTGCGGGGGGGATGATGAAGGCAATTCATCAACACAGATGGCCAAGGGAGACGTGGCTGGACAGCTACTCCATAACCTCTATGCCCTGGCTGTGGACTAGTCTCCTCGGCCTTAGAGTCTAAGGAAGAGCTTGTTCAGGGCCCAGGCAGTCATCACACAGTTACCACATGTCCTAGTGGGCAGGTACCATTTCTGGAGATCCTCCATCACCCTCACTGCCTAGGACACTGTGCTCTGCACACCACAAGCAGACCTTTCATGCTGAATTCTGAAAGAAGAGGATGCATGGATAGATGGTCACCCTGATGTGATCTTGGAGACTATGCTTGACCTGCCCTCTGATAAGATGGGCAAGATTTGGGCCAGAGAAACGTTATTGCTGGCCCCCTTGGTAGTTACCCTGGCTGCTGAGACTTTGGGAGTCATCTGGAGGCAGCATCCCGTTCTTTCAATTCAAGGAAAAACAACACAGTTCTTTCTTTCAAGCTCACCATTTTGTGTGTGTGTGTGTGTGTGTGTGTGTGTGTGTGAGAGAGAGAGAGAGAGAGACAGACAGACAGACAGACAGACAGACAGAGACAGAGACAGAGAGAGACAGAGACAGAGACAGAAGGAAACAGAAGAGGGAGAGGGAGGGAGGAAAGGAGGGAGGGAGGGGGAGAGAGACAGAGAGACAGAGAGAAAGACAGAGAAAGAGAGATGGGGACAGAAAGAGAGACAGACAGAGACACACAGAGATGGAGACACACAGAGAGGGAGGCAGAGAGACAGAGACAGAGAAGGGGGAGGGGCAGAGAAAGGTGACGGGGTGAGAAGCAGATAAGTCTCACACAAGTTGGAGTCTGAGTAGTGGATTGGCTCAGAAGGAGGGTTGGAGCAGTCAGACGCCGGGACTCCTGGGCGTCCAGGGAGGGACATCCCGGGGCATCTCGGCGCTGGAGGGACGCGTAGGAATGTTTCGCTGACAGGTGGATCCCGTTCCTTTCTACGAGGCCTGCGTCTATGATTCCTGCTCCTGCGACACCGGGGGTGACTGCGAATGCTTCTGCTCCGCCGTGGCCTCCTACGCCCAGGAGTGCACCAAGGAGGGGGCTTGTGTCTATTGGCGGAGCCCCGACCTGTGCCGTAAGTTCCGGCTTCCGTGGAGCGGGGACCTCTCCTTCCCAGGGAGGTGGGGGAGGCGCTGCTTTGCCATCGTCCCTTCTGTGGGTCAATGCCTGGGTTTCTGAGTCTAAGGAACAAGGACGTTCGCCCCTAGAGGCTGGCAGGGTGGAAGCGAGTCGTGGCCGCTTCTATCCTCGCCTCCTCCCCACCCTCCCGGGTCCCGTGGCGGGGTCCTTTTCCTTCCGGCTGCTCACAGTTTGGTGACTAGCTCCTCTCTCCCTCCGCTCCCTCCCAGCTATATTCTGTGACTATTACAACCCCCCCAACGAGTGTGAATGGCACTACGAACCCTGTGGGAGCCGAATCCTTGAGACGTGCCGCACTGTCAATGGCATCCATTCCAACATCTCCCTGTCCTTCCTGGAAGGTAGAGTCCCCTCCTTCCACCCTGAGGGCCTTGCTGGGGATGAGGCCTGGACTCTGGGGCTGGAGGGGGCTGTCAACCCGCACTCTTTCCCCACTTCTTACCACCTGGGGGGTGATTGCTGAAGGGGCATCCCCACCCCCTGCCCCATCCTCAGCCTGCTCAGGGAGGGTGGAAAGCCAAGGCAGAATCCTCCTCAGTGAGAGGGAAAAGTCTCCCTGGCCGGAGGAGAGAGATCCCCTTTGTATCCTGGGAGTGGAGGGGTAATGTCTAGCATTGTGATGTCTTGGGAGGACAGCAGTTTGGAACAGTGACCAGAACACGCATGCAGGGCGACCCTCCAGGAATGTATTTTCAGGAATGGGTAGATGAGGAGTTTCAGCGGAGAATCAAAGGAGGCCCTTCCCCTTCCTTCATTGTGTGAGCCACAAACCTGGCTCCTTCTGCCTTCTGTCACCCGTAGGCTGCTATCCCAGGTGCCCTCCAAAAAGGCCTATCTTTGATGAAGACAAGAAAAAGTGCGTGCCTGCCCACCAGTGTGGCTGCTACGTGAATGATGAGCATTATGAAGTCAATGAGAAGGTCCCCACAGAGGATGTCTGCCAGTCTTGGTGAGGAAGCTGCCTGTTGTGCTGGGCCTGCAGTATCAGCTTGCCTCAGTCCCTTCTTTGAGGCCCTTTCTGGGAGGGAAGTTGGCCTCCCCCAGCCCCTCCAAGTCTCCCATCTTCCGCCTCTTGTCCCCTTTTGTCCCCCACTGCCTCCTGGACGCAGAGAAAGGGGAGATGGGCAGAAGCTTCTAGTTGCCTTGGTCCCTTTCTGCTCAACTTGCTTCCCAATGCAGAGCATTGGAGGTGGGGGGTGGGCAGCAAGGGAGAATCCATTAACCAGAGCTCCTGATGGGCAGTAGAGGGGGCCTGTAACCCCAGTCACAGTTACTCTGTCATTTCATTCCATCCCAATCAACATTTATTAAGCACGTACCACGTGCCAGACACCATGCTAAGCGATAGGGATATAATTAATAAGAAGAAAGACCGTCCCTGCCCCCCAAGAGCTTCCACTCATAGGGAGGGAGGGAAGCACCATACCAAGGAGGCAGAAAAGCCAGGGGTGGGGTCGGGGGGATGACCCCTGGGGCATCGGGCGCCGGGGACCTCTTGTTCCAGCAGGTGCCAAGTGGAGGCTGAGAGCAATGGGTAAGGACTGTACGTGTAAGGGCTGAGACCGAGGGTCTACAGCCTTTTACAAGTTGTCTGCCCAGCTTGGGTTCGGCTATCCCATTGTAGCTTCAAGAAGCTGATCTCCTCCTCATATCCCACCAGTTAAAGAGCCACTTGCCAGCACCTTCTGGAGGCGAAGTCTAAAGTTTATTACCATTTATTATGTATTATATTAATATATTATTCTATAATAATGTATTGTATTATCTAATGTATTATACATACATACGTACATACATACATACATATATATACATATATATACATATATATATACATATATATATATATATATATATATATATATATATATATATATATATATATATAAAGTCATTACTGTTAAATTAAAGCTATCTAACATTATTAACTCCTTAGTGTGAATTAAACCAACCAAGTTATCAGATTTGTGAACTGGCAGTAGGAGGAGTGAGGGATGTGGAGACAGGGGGAATACTGGAACTGGGCACTTGAGGGAGGACAGGTCGGGGTAGAGGGCTGCAGTGGGGTCTTTGGAAAGCCAGAGGAAAAAATGAATATCTTGGGTGGGAATGGAAAGAGAATGCCAGGAGGTGGCTGAGGAGTGAGAAAGGAGGTGAGAAAGCCAGCCACAGTGAGTGGCTGCACTCTGTCCACTCTGCCATTTGGCTGCAGCCTGCTCTGGTGCCTCAGGGGAATGCCGGCCTTCTGGCATGAACCCCAGGCAGCTGGCAGACTTGGGGCCCAGAGCCTGGGCTCTCTGAATCCTTTTCTTTCTTTACAGCATTTGCACGTCATCTTCTGAGGTCGCATGTAAGGAGGAGATAGGTAATGTGCTTTTCCATCTTTCCATGCGGAATTTACTGCCCATAGGCTGAATGAATGAATGAATGAATGAATGAATGAATGAATGAATGGTCTACCTGAGGAGGGGCTCCACCCCATCCTGTAGCACCAGCAGCTAAACTGAGTAATTGAAAACAATGCCTTGAGAGAATGGAAGGTGACATGCTGAGAACAGCCCCAGGGAGCAGGCTCCGGGATCAGAGGTGCTCCATCTCTCTGGTAGCATCTTCCTCCCAAGTCTGGGATTTGAAGTCAGGGCCTGTGGGCCAGAGGCCTGGCCACTGAGACTATCTGTGTTGGACCTCGATGTACATCAGTGAATCAAGGGGATTGACCCTGGGCCCTCTTAGCCTCTGCTCCTCTGAACAGGCCCTTTCCTCTGCCGGCCTCAGGGTCCTTCCTCATTTCAGTTGCCCCTCAGGCTATTCCTGTCCAGGGTTCCCCTCCAGTCCCACGTGTGTCCTGAAGCATCTCTATGTCCTGGCTCTGCCTTTACTCTCAGGATTATGCAGATCTATGGTTTGAGGGACCTCAAGGTCTGCACAGGAGAGAAGGAGGGACTCTTTTTGGGCTGAATGTGTTGTGAGGGCATCTGGCTTTGCCATGGCCTGATTGAAGACTGGTGGGCAGCATCCTCTTAGTCGGCTCCTTTCTTGCATCTTGTTCTCTTAGGGGCAGTCATTAACCAGACTCAGAACGGGTCCTTCTGCTTTTGGGAGCTGTGTGGTCCCAATGGCACTGTGACACAGTATTTCAACATCTGTGCTCCAACCTCACCTCCTCCCATCTCGACTGTGTCAACCACCTCGGTGACCACCACTTCTCCCACCACGTCTCTCCCTACCACCACCACCACCACCACCAGCACAGGTATAGTCCCCATCTCCTGCCACCTGGTGAATGGGGTAGAGGTTCTCTGAGGGCAGGGCTGTGCCCAGTGACTTCAAGTGGCAGAGACAGGCATGAGGTGAGCCTTGGAGGAGGTTGGGGGAGGGGAAGGTCAGAGTCTGGGAATCTCCACATCCCTAGCCCAGTGTCAGTGATCCCTCTGGTCTCCAGACTCTCCAGCTGAGATAGCAATGCCAGGGCTCCAGGCCCCCAACCCTAGAGAAGGCCTTTAATGGAAGCAGCTCTGGGTGGTCCCCATGAATGGTCCAGGAAGCTGAAAACTTTGGGAGAGGCAGAGGGGTGGGCTTGTCTGTGAGAGCTGAAGGGCCACACATCGGGCTGGAGTCTGAGCTCTGTCCCATGGCCAGCGTGCCCTAGGTGGGGAGAAGGGATGACCTGGGCCCATTGCAGAGCTCTGACATGCGTGTGACACAATGTTATTTCTTTTCCTTTTTTATTTTTGGCTGCAGTCTCTCCTCCATCTACTACTCTAAGTAAGTCACATTCAGGATAGTGTTCTAATTTTTTTTTTTTAATTTTTAGGCAATTGGGGTTAAGGGACAGGGTCACCCAGCTATTAAGTGTTATATGTCTGAGACCGGATTTGAACTCAGGTCCTCCTGACTTTAGAGCCAGTGCTCTATCTACGGGGCCACCTAGCTGCCCCCCCCATAGCTTTTGATGACTGATAATGTGCAAGGAAGGGAGGATGTAGCCAACAATCCCCCTGCCCAACCCCCTGTTGAGAGTAGAATCTCTCTACACCTAGCCTTAGAGGCCACAACGTACTTCTAAATAAAAGCAAACCAGGTGATGCTGAAGCTGGGGCGGGGGTGCTAGAAGAGGCTCAGCTCCATGACAGGGAAGCTGGGTTTTACTAGAATCCTTAAGTGGTAGTTTTGGAATGGGCCTCAGTTTCCCCATTTGTCTGATGAAAGGCTTTCACTAGATGACCTCTGTGGTCCTAGGAGTCTGTGAGAAATCAAAAGCTTGGAAGGGGGGCCATTTTACCATGATGTGGCAAAGACCCTTGCAGTATACTAAGGGCACAAGCTACTCCCCCCTCTTTGGGTTCTCTTCCCTTTCCCCACCCCCAGCCAGGTGCAAATATCAAATAGTGACTTTTATTTTCCTTCCTAGAAATTTGCTGTTTTTGGTCTGACTGGATTAATGAGGATCATCCCAGCACTGGCGACAATGATGGTGACTGGGAAAGATTTGATGGAGTATGCAGTGCCCCTGAAAACATTGAGTGCAGGTTAGCAAAGGAACCCCATCTGAGCTGGGACCAGCTTGGTCAGAAGGTACAGTGTAATGTCTCTTTTGGACTCATCTGCAACAATGAAGACCAGCTTGAAAATGAACCATTTGACCGTTGTTTTGACTATGAAATCCGGGTCAACTGTTGTCTGCCCATGGATCATTGCCCAACATCAGCACCAGGTACGACGACTACGGTGAGAACCGTCAGTCCTACAACCGGAACGACACCTGCGACGCTTACTGCTACAACTCCAACCACTGTCTCAACTATGTCATCAACCCCCACAACCAAGACCTCCACTATTCCACCCATTACTACCACTACTACCACAGAGACTCCAGCTACAACACCCACACCCATCACTACCACTACTACCTCAGAGATGTCCACTCCAACATCCACACCCACCACTACCACTACTACCACAGAGATTCCAACTACAACACCCACACCCACCACTACCACCACTACCACAGAGACTCCAACTCCAACACCCACACCCATCACTACCACTACTACCACAGAGACTCCACCTACAACACCCACACCCATCACTACCACCACTACCACAGAGACTTCCACTCCAAAACCCACACCCATCACTGCCACTACTACCACAGAGACTTCCACTCCAACACCCACACCCACCACTACCACCACTACCACAGAGACTCCACCTACAACACCCACACCCATCACTACCACTACTACCACAGAGACTCCACCTACAACACCCACACCCATCACTAGCACTACTACCACAGAGACTCCACCTACAACACCCACACCCTTCACTACCACCACTACCACAGAGACTCCACCTACAACACCCACACCCATCACTACCACCACTACCACAGAGACTCCAACTACAAAACCCACACCCATCACTGCCACTACTACCACAGAGACTTCCACTCCAACACCCACACCCACCACTACGACCACTACCACAGAGACTCCACCTACAACACCCACACCCATCACTACCACTACTACCACAGAGACTCCACCTACAACACCCACACCCATCACTACCACTACTACCACAGAGACTCCACCTACAACACCCACACCCTTCACTACCACTACTACCACAGAGACTCCACCTACAAAACCCACACCCATCAGTACCACTACTACCACAGAGACTCCACCTACAACACCCAAACCCATCACTACCACTACTACCCCAGAGACTTCCACTCCAACACCCACACCCACCACTACCACCACTACCACAAAGACTCCACCTACAACACCCACACCCACCACTACCACCACTACCACAGAGACTCCAACTCCAACACCCACACCCACCACTACCACCACTACCACAGAGACTCCACCTACAACACCCACACCCATCACTACCACCACTACCACAGAGACTCCACCTACAAAACCGACACCCATCACTACCACCACTACCCCAGAGACTTCCACTCCAACACCCACACCCACCACTACCACCACTACCACAGAGACTCCACCTACAAAACCCACACCCACCACTACCACCACTACCACAAAGACTCCACCTACAAACCCACACCCATCACTACCACCACTACCACAAAGACTCCACCTACAAAACCCACACCCATCACTACCACTACTACCACAGAGACTTCCACTCCAACACCCACACCCACCACTACCACTCCTACCACAGAGACTTCCACTCCAACACCCACACCCACCACTACCACCACTACCACAGAGACTCCACCTACAAAACCCACACCCACCACTACCACCACTACCACAAAGACTCCACCTACAAAACCCACACCCATCACTACCACCACTACCACAAAGACTCCACCTACAAAACCCACACCCATCACTACCACTACTACCACAGAGACTTCCACTCCAACACCCACACCCACACTACCACTCCTACCACAGAGACTTCCACTCCAACACCCACACCCATCACTACCACCACTACCACAGAGACTCCACCTACAACACCCACACCCATCACTACCACCACTACCACACAGACTTCCACTCCAACACCCACACCCATCAGTACCACCACTACCACAGAGACTCCACCTACAAAACCCACACCCATCAGTACCACCACTACCACAGAGACTTCCACTCCAACACCCACACCCACCACTACCACCACTACCACAGAGACTCCACCTACAAAACCCACACCCATCACTACCACCACTACCACAAAGACTCCACCTACAAAACCCACACCCACCACTACCACCACTACCACAAAGACTCCACCTACAAACCCACACCCATCACTACCACTACTACCACAGAGACTTCCACTCCAACACCCACACCCATCACTGCCACCACTACCCCAGAGACTTCCCCTCCAACACCTACCACCAGTGTAACCACAGAGACTCCACCCCCGCCCACAGTCACCTCAGTGCCTCCACCACCCTCCACCACCACCAGCACTACTACTGTCAGAGAAAGCTCCACTCCAACTGTCATCACCACCAGTGAGACTGCCAGTATTCCAACAAGCACCACTCCACCCACCACCATCTCCACTAGAGAGACCCCAACCCATCCACAATGTGATTCTGGGCCTGTCTGTGAGTGGACTGATTGGGTTGATTCAAGGAAGCCAAATGGTATTGGTGACTTTGAACTGGTTAAAGATATTTGCAAGGAATCTGGCTGGGCAGCCAACATCACATGCAGAGCCGTGATGTTTCCAGACAAGACAATTGAAGAACTGGGACAAGTTGTAGTGTGTAATGCCTCAGTGGGACTGGTATGTAAAAATGAAGATCAGAGGCCAGGATATATACACATGGCTTTCTGTCTCAATTATGAAGTCAAGGTTTATTGCTGTGAGCAGTATGACTGTAGTACAGCTAACATGCCAACCACCACAGAGACACCCACTCCAACAACCACGTTTACTATCACCACCACTGAGACTCCAAAACCCACACCCACCACAACCACCACCCCAAGGCCCCCAACTCCCACACCACACATAACCACCACAGGGAGTTCACCACCCTCCACAACCACCACTACCACAGAGACTCCAACTCCAACACCCACAACCATCACTACCACTACTGCCACAGAGACTTCACCTACAACACCCACACACATCACTACCACTACTACCACACAGACTTCCACTCCAACACCCACACCCATCACTACCACCACTACCACAGAGACTCCACCTACAACACCCACACCCACCACTACCACCACTACCACAGAGACTCCAACTCCAACACCCACACCCATCACTACCACCACTACCACAGAGACTCCCACTCCAACACCCACACCCACCACTACACCACTACCACAGAGACTTCCACTCCAACACCCACACCCACCACTACCACCACTACCACAGAGACTTCCACTCCAACACCCACACCCATCACTACCACCACTACCACAGAGACTTCCACTCCAACACCCACACCCATCACTACCACCACTACCACAGAGACTCCACCTACAACACCCACACCCATCACTACCACCACTACCACAGAGACTTCCACTCCAACACCCACACCCACCACTACCACCACTACCACAGAGACTTCCACTCCAACACCCACACCCATCACTACCACCACTACCACAGAGACTCCACCTCCAACACCCACACCCACCACTACCACTACTACCACAGAGACTTCCACTCCAACACCCACACCCATCACTACCACCACTACCACAGAGACTCCACCTACAACACCCACAGCCATCACTACCACTACTACCACAGAGACTCCACTCCAACACCCACACCATCACTACACCACTACTACCACAGAGACTCCACCTACAAACCCACACCCATCACTACCACCACTACCACAAAGACTCCACTACAAAACCCACACCCATCACTACCACCACTACCACAGAGACTCCACCAACAAAACCCACACCCATCACTACCACCACTACCACAAAGACTCCACCTACAAAACCCACACCCATCACTACCACCACTACCACAAGACTCCACCTACAAACCCACACCCACACTACACCACTACCCACAGAGACTCCAACTCCAACACCCACACCCATCACTACCACTACCACCACAGAGACTTCCACTCCAACACCCACACCCATCACTACCACTACCACCACAGAGACTTCCACTCCAACACCCACACCCATCACTACCACTACTACCACAGAGACTTCCACTCCAACACCCACACCCATCACTACCACTACTACCCCAGAGACTCCCACACCAACACCCACACCCATCACTACCACTACCACCACAGAGACTCCCACTCCAACACCCACACCCATCACTACCACTACTACCACAGAGACTCTCACTACAACACCCACACCCATCACTACCACCACTACTCCAGAGACTCCACCTACAAAACCCACACCCATCACTACCACTACTACCACACAGACTTTCACTCCAACACCCACACCCATCACTACCACTACTACCACAGAGACTCCACCTACAACACCCACACCCATCAGTACCACTACTACCACAGAAACTCCCACTCCAACACCCACACCCATCACTACCACTACTACCACAGAGACTCCACCTACAACACCCACACCAATCACTACCACTACCACCACACAGACTGCCACTACAACACCCACACCCATCACTACCACTACTACCCCAGAGACTTCCACTCCAACACCCACACCCATCACTACCACTACCACCACAGAGACTCCACCTACAACACCCACACCCATCACTACCACTACTACCCCAGAGACTCCCACACCAACACCCACACCCATCACTACCACTACTACCCCAGAGACTTCCACTCCAACACCCACACCCATCACTACCACTACCACCACAGAGACTCCACCTACAACACCCACACCCATCACTGCCACTACCACCACAGAGACTCCACCTACAACACCCACACCCATCACTACCACTACTACCACAGAGACTCCCACTCCAACACCCACACCCATCACTACCACTACTACCACAGAGACTTCCACTCCAACACCCACACCCATCACTACCACCACTACCCCAGAGACTTCCACTCCAACCCCCACACCCATCACTACCACTACTACCACAGAGACTTCCACTCCAACACCCACACCCATCACTACCACTACTACCACAGAGACTTCACCTACAACACCCACACCCATCACTACCACCACTACCACAGAGACTCCACCTACAACACCCACACCCATCACTACCACCACTACCACAAAGACTCCACCAACAAAACCCACACCCATCACTACCACCACGACCCCAGAGACTTCCACTCCAACACCCACACCCATCACTACCACCACTACCACAGAGATTCCACCTACAACACCTACACCCATCACTACCACCACTACCACAGAGACTCCACCTACAACACCCACACCCATCACTACCACTACTACCACAGAGACTCCAACTACAACACCCAAACCCATCACTACCACTACTACCACAGAGACTCCAACTCCAACACCCACACCCATGACTACCACTACCACCACAGAGACTTCCACTCCAACACCCACACCCATCACTACCACCACTACCACAGAGACTCCACCTACAAAACCCACACCCATCACTACCACCACTACCACAGAGACTCCACCTACAAAACCCACACCCATCACTACCACTACTACCACAGAGACTCCACCTACAACACCCACACCCATCACTACCACTACTACCACAGAGACTCCAACTCCAACACCCACACCCATGACTACCACTACCACCACAGAGACTTCCACTCCAACACCCACACCCATCACTACCACCACTACCACAGAGACTCCACCTACAAAACCCACACCCATCACTACCACCACTACCACAAAGACTCCACCTACAAAACCCACACCCATCACTACCACCACTACCACAAAGACTCCACCTACAAAACCCACACCATCACTACCACCACTACCACAAAGACTCCACCTACAAAACCCACACCCATCACTACCACCACTACCACAAAGACTCCACCTACAAAACCCACACCCATCACTACCACTACTACCACAGAGACTCCACCTACAACACCCACACCCATCACTACCACTACTACCACAGAGACTCCCACTCCAACACCCACACCCATCACTACCACTACTACCACAGAGACTTCCACTCCAACACCCACACCCATCACTACCACCACTACCCCAGAGACTTCCACTCCAACCCCCACACCCATCACTACCACTACTACCACAGAGACTTCCACTCCAACACCCACACCCATCACTACCACCACTACCACAGAGACTCCACCTACAACACCCACACCCATCACTACCACCACTACCACAGAGACTTCCACTCCAACACCCACACCCACCACTACCACTACTACCACAGAGACTTCCACTCCAACACCCACACCCACCACTACCACCACTACCACAGAGACTCCACCTACAACACCCACAGCCATCACTACCACTACTACCACAGAGACTTCACCTACAACACCCACACCCATCACTACCACCACTACCACAGAGACTCCACCTACAACACCCACACCCATCACTACCACCACTACCACAAAGACTCCACCTACAAAACCCACACCCATCACTACCACTACTACCACAGAGACTCCACCTACAACACCCACACCCATCACTACCACCACTACCACAGAGACTCCAACTACAACACCCAAACCCATCACTACCACTACTACCACAGAGACTTCCACTCCAACACCCACACCCATGACTACCACTACCACCACAGAGACTTCCACTTCAACACCCACACCCATCAGTACCACCACTACCACAGAGACTCCACCTACAAAACCCACACCCATCACTACCACCACTACCACAAAGACTCCACCTACAAAACCCACACCCATCACTACCACCACTACCACAAAGACTCCACCAACAAAACCCACACCCATCACTACCACCACTACCACAAAGACTCCACCTACAAAACCCACACCCATCACTACCACTACTACCACAGAGACTCCACCTACAACACCCACACCCATCACTACCACTACTACCACAGAGACTTCCACTCCAACACCCACACCCATCACTACCACCACTACCACAGAGACTCCACCTACAAAACCCACACCCATCACTACCACCACTACCACAGAGACTCCACCTACAAAACCCACACCCATCACTACCACCACTACCACAGAGACTCCACCTACAAAACCCACACCCATCACTACCACCACTACCACAGAGACTCCACCAACAAAACCCACACCCATCACTACCACCACTACCACAAAGACTCCACCTACAAAACCCACACCCATCACTACCACCACTACCACAAAGACTCCACCTACAAAACCCACACCCACCACTACCACTACCACCACAGAGACTTCCACTCCAACACCCACACCCATCACTACCACCACTACCACAGAGACTCCACCTACAAAACCCACACCCATCACTACCACCACTACCACAAAGACTCCACCAACAAAACCCACACCCATCACTACCACCACTACCACAAAGACTCCACCTACAAAACCCACACCCATCACTACCACCACTACCACAAAGACTCCACCTACAAAACCCACACCCATCACTACCACCACTACCACAGAGACTCCACCTACAACACCCACACCCATCACTACCACCACTACCACAGAGACTCCAACTACAACACCCAAACCCATCACTACCACTACTACCACAGAGACTCCAACTCCAACACCCACACCCATGACTACCACTACCACCACAGAGACTTCCACTCCAACACCCACACCCATCACTACCACCACTACCACAGAGACTCCACCTACAAAACCCACACCCATCACTACCACCACTACCACAAAGACTCCACCTACAACACCCACACCCATCACTACCACCACTACCACAATGACTCCACCAACAAAACCCACACCCATCACTACCACCACTACCACAAAGACTCCACCTACAAAACCCACACCTATCACTACCACCACTACCACAAAGACTCCACCTACAACACCCACACCTATCACTACCACTACTACCACAGAGACTCCACCTACAACACCCACACCCATCACTACCACTACTACCATAGAGACTCCAACTCCAACACCCACACCCATGACTACCACTACCACCACAGAGACTTCCACTCCAACACCCACACCCATCACTACCACCACTACCACAGAGACTCCACCTACAAAACCCACACCCATCACTACCACCACTACCACAAAGACTCCACCTACAAAACCCACACCCATCACTACCACCACTACCACAAAGACTCCACCAACAAAACCCACACCCATCACTACCACCACTACCACAAAGACTCCACCTACAAAACCCACACCCATCACTACCACCACTACCAGAAAGACTCCACCTACAAAACCCACACACATCACTACCACTACTACCACAGAGTCTCCACCTACAACACCCACACCCATCACTACCAGTACTACCACAGAGACTCCAACTACAACACCCAAACCCATCACTACCACTACTACCACAGAGACTCCAACTCCAACACCCACACCCATGACTACCACTACCACCACAGAGACTTCCACTCCAACACCCACACCCATCACTACCACCACTACCACAGAGACTCCACCTACAAAACCCACACCCATCACTACCACCACTACCACAGAGACTCCACCAACAAAACCCACACCCATCACTACCACCACTACCACAAAGACTCCACCTACAAAACCCACACCCATCACTACCACCACTACCACAGAGACTCCACCTACAACACCCACACCCACCACTACCACCACTACCACAGAGACTCCAACTCCAACACCCACACCCATCACTACCACTACCACCACAGAGACTTCCACTCCAACACCCACACCCATCACTACCACTACCACCACAGAGACTTCCACTCCAACACCCACACCCATCACTACCACTACTACCACAGAGACTTCCACTCCAACACCCACACCCATCACTACCACTACTACCCCAGAGACTCCCACACCAACACCCACACCCATCACTACCACTACTACCACAGAGACTCCACCTACAACACCCACACCAATCACTACCACTACCACCACACAGACTGCCACTACAACACCCACACCCATCACTACCACTACTACCCCAGAGACTTCCACTCCAACACCCACACCCATCACTACCACTACCACCACAGAGACTCCACCTACAACACCCACACCCATCACTACCACTACTACCCCAGAGACTCCCACACCAACACCCACACCCATCACTACCACTACTACCCCAGAGACTTCCACTCCAACACCCACACCCATCACTACCACTACCACCACAGAGACTCCACCTACAACACCCACACCCATCACTGCCACTACCACCACAGAGACTCCACCTACAACACCCACACCCATCACTACCACTACTACCACAGAGACTCCCACTCCAACACCCACACCCATCACTACCACTACTACCACAGAGACTTCCACTCCAACACCCACACCCATCACTACCACTACCCCAGAGACTTCCACTCCAACCCCCACACCCATCACTACCACTACTACCACAGAGACTCCCACTACAACACCCACACCCATCACTACCACCTCTACTCCAGAGACTCCACCTACAAAACCCACACCCATCACTACCACTACTACCACACAGACTTTCACTCCAACACCCACACCCATCACTACCACTACTACCACAGAGACTCCACCTACAACACCCAAACCCATCAGTACCACTACTACCACAGAGACTCCCACTCCAACACCCACACCCATCACTACCACTACTACCACAGAGACTCCACCTACAACACCCACACCAATCACTACCACTACTACCACACAGACTGCCACTACAACACCCACACCCATCACTACCACTACTACCCCAGAGACTTCCACTCCAACACCCACACCCATCACTACCACTACCACCACAGAGACTCCACCTACAACACCCACACCCATCACTACCACTACTACCCAGAGACTCCCACACCAACACCCACACCCATCACTACCACTACTACCCAGAGACTTCCACTCCAACACCCACACCCATCACTACCACTACCACCACAGAGACTCCACCTACAACACCCACACCCATCACTGCCACTACCACCACAGAGACTCCACCTACAACACCCACACCCATCACTACCACTACTACCACAGAGACTCCCACTCCAACACCCACACCCATCACTACCGCTACTACCACAGAGACTTCCACTCCAACACCCACACCCATCACTACCACCACTACCCCAGAGACTTCCACTCCAACCCCCACACCCATCACTACCACTACTACCACAGAGACTCCCACTACAACACCCACACCCATCACTACCACCACTACTCCAGAGACTCTACCTACAAAACCCACACCCATCACTACCACTACTACCACACAGACTTTCACTCCAACACCCACACCCATCACTACCACTACTACCACAGAGACTCCACCTACAACACCCAAACCCATCAGTACCACTACTACCACAGAGACTCCCACTCCAACACCCACACCCATCACTACCACTACTACCACAGAGACTCCACCTACAACACCCACACCAATCACTACCACTACTACCACACAGACTGCCACTACAACCCCCACACCCATCACTACCACTACTACCCCAGAGACTTCCACTCCAACACCCACACCCATCACTACCAGTACCACCACAGAGACTCCACCTACAACACCCACACCCATCACTACCACTACTACCACAGAGACTCCCACTCCAACACCCACACCCATCACTACCACTACTACCACAGAGACTTCCACTCCAACCCCCACACCCATCACTACCACTACTACCACAGAGACTCCCACTACAACACCCACACCCATCACTACCACCACTACCCCAGAGACTTCCACTCCAACCCCCACACCCATCACTACCACTACTACCACAGAGACTCCCACTACAACACCCACACCCATCACTACCACCACTACCCCAGAGACTTCCACTCCAACCCCCACACCCATCACTACCACTACTACCACAGAGACTCCACCTACAACACCCACACCCATCACTACCACTACTACCCCAGAGACTTCCACTCCAACCCCCACACCCATCACTACCACTACTACCACAGAGACTCCACCTACAACACCCACACCCATCACTACCACTACTACCCCAGAGACTTCCACTCCAACACTCACACCCATCACTACCACTACTACCACAGAGACTCCCACTCCAACACCCACACCCATCACTACCACTACTACCCCAGAGACTTCCACTCCAACACCCACACCCATCACTACCACTACTGCCACAGAGACTTCCCCTCCAACACCTACCACCAGTGTAAGCCCAGAGACTCCACCCCCACCCACAGCCACCTCAGGGACTTCACCATCCTCTACCACCACCACCACTGAGATCCCAACACCTCCTCATACCACCACTTCCACCGCAGAGACACCCCACACAACCACCCCAGAGACCCCATCACCTTCCTCCTCTACCACCACCACTGTCACTGAGACTCCTAAACCTGCACCCACCACAACCACCACCCCAAGGCCCCCAAGTCCAACACCATACACAAGTACCCCAGAGACTGCAACTCCCACATCGCACACAACTACCATAGGGAGTTCACCACCCTCTACAACCACCACTACCACAGAGACTCCAACTCCAACACCCACACCCATCACTACCACTACTGCCACAGAGACTTCCACTCCAACACCTACCACCAGTGTAACCACCGAGACTCCACCCCATCCCACAGCCACCCCAAGGACTCCAACACCTCACACAACTACCACCTCCTTCCCAGAGACACCCACTACCACCCCAACCACCACCGGAAGGGGGACTCCAACTTCAATTTTATCCACAACCACAAAAGAAATAGGAACAACAACAATCATAGCTGTAGAGACTACAACCCCAACTATGAGCACCGCAGAGACACCATCCAGAACTACAAGAGAGACTCCAACTCCAACAGGAACAAGCATTCCAGGTGAGGTACCTCTTTTAGGCCTTTCCCTTTTCCCTGCACCCAAGTTTCCCTGCACTTTAAACTTCATTCTAAGTATTGTGCCTGTCCTGTCATTGCCTACTTTCCCATTCCAGGTAAAAATGAGCGAAGAAGCCTTTCCTTTAATTCTCTTAGAGTTAATGGTCCCATTTGTTCATTCAATAGAGGAACAATATTGTAACACAAAATCCCATAGGATTCCAGATATTTGAGGGCATCACATTTCCCAGGTAACTGTTTCTATCTCACTGCTTGGAGTGCAGCTTTCCAATTAGATTCAGAACCTACCAAGGTATTGGAGATTTGAGTAGGTGTTTGGTGATGTTCAAGAGAGGTTTAGCTTGGGAGTGAAAAGTTTTGGTGGGCACCTGAGAACTGCCTTCAAAAACTGGAAGGACTGTCCTGTGGAAGAGAGATCAACTTCATTTTATTTGGCCTGGAAGGGAATAATCAGGAGCAGGTGCGATGGGGGCTAGGCTCACAAACAAGCAGATTTACCCCTCATATAAGGGAGAACCTCCTAACAATTAGAGTTAGTGGAATAGGCTGCTTCAAAAGGTGATGAGCTTCTCACTGAAGGTCTTTTAGTAGAGGCTGGATGGCCCGTTGTTGGAAGGTTGTAAAGGAGAGTCCTGACCATACGTGCTCAGGTATGGGTTGTACAAGAGGCACAGGTCTGGGGTTTGGGGATGACGTATCTTGTGAATTGGCTTCGTTCAAAGGCCACTCTCCCTTCATCTTATTCATCCCTTCCCTGCCCACTGAGCCCGATTCCTCTGCCTAGTCTCATCCTCAAGGCTTTTTGAGTACAAAGGGAAGCGGTTAACTCATCACAGGTTTCCAAACTTCTCTCCACCTGAATCCCTTTTGTCATGGCAGAAAATTCTAGCTTTATAGGACTTCTAGAAGGGTGCCAGTATAGAAACTTTCTTGTCAAATGCTCTTTTTGGAAAGATAAAGAAACCAAGGTTCAAGGAGCCTCAGGGTATTGCCCAAGATCACACAGCTAGTGAGTAGAATTCCAAGTCCTATGCTCTTTGCACAGATCCAAAAGGCCACTTCCCTAAGCCACCCCTGCATTCTGGGAGATCACTCTGCAAGATGTTCTATTGTTCCTCAGTGGGAACAGAGCTGGGACAGGTGGGGTTAGCACTTTAGAGTCAGTGGCATAGAAAGGAAGCTCTTGGAACACAGAATATGCTTCCAGTGGGAAGGTAACTGCATCGAAGTGCCTGTCCACCTCTTCTCTCCAGGGTGATGTGGGGCCTGGGCTCTCATTGGCATGTTCCTACTGCAGCCTCTGGGTCCAGAATGCAGGCTGCCCAGAGAGCCTTGGGAACCACCGATGGTTTGGGGAACATACTTAGTGACCCTGGCATTGGAGAATGGCTGGTTTGAAAGACTCCACAGGAGCCTCTGCCCCTACCTGCCTTGAGCCCAGTGAAACTCCAGCCATCTCTAGTGGTGGTGGGGAGATGCATGGCTGTGTCGGGGAAGGGAGGTAGACAGAGACATATAGACAGATCCAAGAGCATGCTCTCAACTTGATGCCCTGGGCGGCCAGTTGGCTAGGATGGGGTGTGCTTGGGCTGGCTGAAAGAACCAGCAGAGAGTTGAAAACTTTCAGGTCATTTCTTGATTCTTTCCAGCTCCTGGTCAGACTTGCCAGCCAGCCCACCTCTGCCTTACCTTGATTTGACTTTAGTGGGTGAGATTAATGAATGTCCTTTGAACCTTCTATTTCTAGGCACGAGCCCCACAATGACGACAACAAGGGGGACCCCACCTCCTTCCACTCCCCCACCTCCCCCACTTCCCCGGAGATCACGATGCCCACTCAGCCTCCCCACAGCACTTCCAGTGTGAGCATCCCAACCACAGTGTGCACCACCTCCATCCCAGTGCACAGCACGGGGCTCTCCACCAAAGCCACCGCCAGCCCGCTCACGGCTCCCATAGTCAGCATCAGCACTGGCACCAGCATACCGACATCCCACTCCAAGTCCTGCTGTTTCTTGAATGACACATATTATGGGAGAGGTGAGAAGCAACGAGCAGCTTCACTCTGTAAGGCTTCTTGGGGAGATGCTAAGCGTGCTGCCGTTCCCAGGGCAGCAGCTGCGAAGTGCGGCTTGTGTACCGGCTTGGTATCCCTGCAGCCCCGAGCCCCGACGGCTGCCCCCGGAGCCAGGCCCTGTGGTGGGCTGGGGGAGGGGAGCTGCCCTGGCGCTTTGGTGCAGCACAGCCTGCAGGGGCCTTGTCCACACCTGATTTGCTGGGCATTTCCAGTTCTCTGCCTTTTGGCCTCACGGTTACGGGGGGGGGGTGCGGTTCTCTTCCTCGGCAGGCGAAGTGATATACAGCGGGACACACGGAGACTACTGCTACTTTGTCAACTGCTCTCTGGACTGCACAATTGAGATCTTCAACTGGTCCTGCCCTTCCACGCCCCGGCCCTCAACCCCAGCACCGAGCCAGTCAAGCCCGACCATACCCTCTCCAGCCTGCCCTAACTTTGTGCCGCCACGGCAGGTCGGTGGCTGCTCGTGCTAGGGACGGGGCCAGTGCCCACACCACACACCACTCCCAGACCTTGAAGAGTGTGTAGGAATTTGTCATCTTCGTGTACGAAGATGAGCCCTCTGCTTCACCAGCTGCCCTGAGTCTTTTTCCTCTTGGGCATGGGAATAGATTTGTGCTGATCCATCCATTCTCTCCTGGCCTCCTTGTGAACGAGCCTGACCAGTCCCTTCCCTCCTCTGGGCCTCAGTTCACCCCTCTGTAATATAAGGGAGCAGGACCAGGTGGCTGCTAAGATCTTTCCAGCTCTATGCCCATGAGCTCAAAGTTGTTTGTTTGTTTATTTTTTATAAGAGTGCTCAGGGTGTGGGGTATGGCCTGTGACCAAGTCACTTCCAAGCTAAGTGGCCCAGAAAGGGCCCAAGCTCAGGATTCAGGCTCATTCACCCACTGAAAGAGACTATGGCTCCAGTCTGTTGAAAGGATCCTTCCCATTCTTCCCCTCAAACAATGGGGATAAACATAGTGTTATATGTTGCCTCCAAAGTCATTTTGATTTTATCTCTATCATGTGAGTGGGGCTCCTGGGTCCAGAGCCCTGGGCTACCAGGCCTGGCTGAGGTGTGGCTAGCCCTACCCTCCTGAAGTTCACAGCCCGGTATTGGGAGATTACTGCTAACAAGCAAAAGAGGCTCACGCCAATTGTGCCCCCACACCATTCCCAGGTATTAGTGGTGCCCGTATTAGTCCCATTTGACAGATGGAGGGGGAAAGGGACTGGCCTCCAGCTCAGCACTGATTGCAGGGACAGGGCCCTTTCTTCTATATTGTAGGAAGCCAGAAAGGAGAAAGGATTTGCCAGAGTCCCCATGGAGTGTCAGGGATAGAACTAGGCTGGGGTCCCAGATCTCCTGGTCCCAAGCCCATAGTGTGGATCCCAGCTGATTTTTTTTTTCCTTCCATGCCACTCCCATGGTTGTAGAAGAATGAAATTTGGTGGCTATGCAACTGTACCATGGCTATGTGTAAGCACGATAACACAGTGGAGATTTTTGAGAAGGTGTGCGACCCACCACCCAAGCCTGTGTGCAGCAATGGCCTCAACCCCGTGTGGGTCCTGGACCCTGATGGCTGCTGTGGCCACTGGGAGTGTGATTGTAAGTAGCCAGCCCTTTCCTGCATCAGCTGTCCCCTATGCTTGTTCTGGAGGCCGGGCCTTTCATCCCCCAAGACGGAAGAGTGACAGGTGGTGTTGCAGGGGGGCCAGATCTCATTCAATTTAACAGGCATTGACAAGTAAGTGACGTACCCACTGTGTGCCAGGAACTGTCTTTGGTGCTAGACCTCCAAAGACAAAAATGAAGTACTAAGTGCCCCACAAGAGCTTAACTGACTGGGGGACTCCTTTGGGGAGTTTGGGGAGAGCATTTCTCAGGCCAAGAGCTAACCCGGCCACCTCATATGCAAATAGTGTCTGATGCCCCTGCCCCAAATGAGGATCTGGGGGCCTCCTCCCCTTCTACCCCCCGAGAGGCTCCCCCTGGTGCCAGCTGAGGGCAAATGCTGCTTTTTCAGGCTACTGTACTGGCTGGGGAGACCCCCATTACACCACCTTTGACGGGCTGTACTACAGCTTCCAAGGAAACTGCACTTATGTGCTCGTGGAAGAGATCTCTCCCACCGTGGACAACTTCGGTGTTTACATCGACAACTACAACTGTGACGTCAACGACAAGGTGTCCTGCCCACGCACCCTCATTGTGAGGCACGAGACCCATGAGGTTCTCCTCGAGACCATCCAGATGGCACCCATGAAGGTCCAGGTGCGGTGTGGGATGGCTCAGCTTGCCCACGTCTGGTGCCCAAGGCATGGGGCAAGGGCGACTCCGCTGGGCGAGGGACTCTCAGTGAATCAGCAAACATTTATGAAGGACCTGCTGCGTGCCAGGCACTGTGCTGGGTGCTAGGGATACTAAGTTACATACAGAGTGGGCACATATGAGATGCATGAAGAGTGGATAAATATAAGACACATACATAGTGGGTACATACAAGATACATGCAGAGTGGGTACATATAAGACACAGAGTGGGTACATGCAAGATACATACAGAGTAGATACACAAAATATACATGCAGAGTGAATACATATAAGACACATACAGAGTGGGTACATACAAGATACAGAGTAGACACATACAAAGTGGATACCTATACGATACATACAGAGTGGGCGCATGTAAGATACATGAAGAGTGGATAAATATAAGACACATACATAGTGGGTACATACAAGATACATGCAGAGTGGATACATATAAGACACATGCAAAATGGACACATACAAGAGACATACATAGTGGGTACATAGAGGATACATTCAGAGTGGATACAAGGTGTCCTAGGGGAGAAAGGCCCCTAGCAGTTGAGGGGGAGCGGACCAGAAAGGCCTTCTGCAGAAGGGGGACTTGGGGTCAAGTCTCAAGGAATTCAGGGGTTCTAAGAAGTGGAGGTGAGGAGGGAAGGCTTTCCAGGCATGGGGGACAGCAGGTGCAAAGGCATGGCAGTGGGAGATCAGTGTCCTGTGTGAGGAACAGCAAGGAGGTCAGTGTGTCTGGACCGCAGGGTCCAGGAAGAGAAGCACTATGTTAAGAAGGCTGAAAAGGGAAGGACCAAGGTTCTAAGAAGCTTAGTGACCAGCAGAGGCATTCCTGTTCAATTCCAGAGGCAGTGAAATTTCTTAAGCAAGAGAGGTTTCCTAACCTGCTCTTTAGGAGAGGCAGGCTGGGAGGGGGAAGAGACTGCAGTCTCTCCCTAGGGAGACCCCCAGGAAGCCAAGCGTAGCCCAGGGGGCTCCTCAGAGCCTGGGGGAGTGGAGTGGAGGGACAAGGTCAGCAGCTGGTGTGAGGTCTGTCCATGGCTTAGACTTCTGGGGAAGGGGACAGGGGGAGGGGGGAGTGGAAGTCGCCTCCTCCGGGGCGCCTGCCTGTCAGACAAAGAGTGGAGTATGTCCACTGAGGCAGGGAAGGAAGGGTGAGGGAGAACTGTGGCCTGAGAGCTGGGTGGGGCAGCTGGCAGCCTTGTGGGCCTTTCCATTTGGGTCTCCTGAGGGACAGCTCCAAGGAGATCTCTCTGGGAATATTGAACCCTGGGCTTCCCACGGCAAAGCACCCACTTTTCCACTGGCTGTCTCTTGGACCCAGGAGTGCCTGTCTTCTCATTGTTGGCTCCTCAGAACCCGGGGCCCATGGAGCTGCCTGCCTGCCTCCCTCATTACCCAACAATAAACAGCCAGGTCAGCAGAGCCAGCCCCCCCCCCCCCCCGGCTGGGCTGCTAGTGTGTGTTAGACTTTGGATTGGGTTCAACCCCCTTCATTTCATGCAGACGAATCTGAGAATGAGGGGACTGCTCAGGGTGGTCTCTCTGCACCTGAGAGGCAGAGCTGCGCTTCAAAGCCAGGCCCTCCAAGGCCCTGGCCCAGCTGCTCGGTGAGCCCTTGGCCCCCTTCCTGACTCCTCTCTGCTGCAGGTGCTGGTGAACAATCAGACGGTGGCGCTGCCTTATGAGAAGTACGGCGTCCAGGTCTACGAGGCTGGCATTAACTATGAGGTGTACATCCCGGAGCTTGACGTGCTGGTGTCTTACAATGGTCTCTCCTTTGGTATCAAGATGCCTTATAACAAATTTGGCAGCAACACCAAAGGCCAGTGTGGTAAGGAAATTTGTCCTGAGCCTCGGGGGCCTCCTGGTGCAGAAGGGGCTGTTGGGGGTGGGGTGGGCTTCTCCTCCCTGGGGATTTTCAGCAGCTCCAGGTCAGACTAGAACCTCTGAGCTCTCTCCCAGCCTGGAGAATACAGCATGGGTCTGGTTGTGTACGTGTGCGTGTGCATGTGCATGCGAGCACATATGTGAGTGTGGGTTTTGTGTGTGCATATGTGGGCGTGTGTAAACATGTACATGTGTGGATGTGCGTGCGTGGGTATGGACTTCCTCTTGCTTTCTCCCTCCAAGGTTTCTGGTCAGCTTCTTTTCCTGGCTACCCTTTGGCATAGCCTGTTGGGATCATGATATGGGAGGCAGGGTCAGGGACAAGTGAGCACCAGCGGAGATTAGGAGCAAGCAGGTCCAAAGGGGGCTGAGAGGTTGTCTCTTGCCAAATGATGCCCAGGACCCCAGTGCTCTGACCCATGGCCAAAGGGCCTGGCTCCCATCTAGCTGCCGGCTCAGTGTTCCCCACTGAGGTATCTGCTGTTAGATGCTCTAAGATTTTCTCCCCTCCTTTGACTTTTTTATGGGGAGCCTTCTAGGCTGATGGGGATGCATCCAATGGGGGCCCTGTGCTAGGCCCAGGGGAGATACTGGGGATGGGGAGAGCACGGCATTGGAGCATCCTAGAAGAAGCCCCTGGGACCCCCTGCCACACCTTTGGAAGGGCCTTGGAACTGTGGCCTGTGCCCTGTGGCTGCCTGGGCTGCTCTGCCCCAAAGGAGAGGGAGGGCTGACTCTGCAGGCACCCACTAGTGGGCCTGAGGCAACCTGGTCACCATGGGGAGCCCCCGAGGCCAGGTTGTGGCCTCCAACCCCCTTCCTTCCTATGCATCCATTCAGACATTGACCGAGTAGAACCTGGGTGGAGGCAGACCTCGGGCCGTGGTGCCCAGTGGTAGCCCCTGGCAGGCTGCCAGCAAACCCCGAAGGGCCAGTGGCTGGCTGGGTATGTTCTGGCCCCCTGGGGAGGAGCTGCCAGCTCCAGGCCTTGTCTTTTGAAATCCTGGAGGGTTTTCTCCCACTCCAGGCACCTGCACTAACAACCAGACTGATGACTGCATGCTGCCCAGTGGAGAGGTCATCTCTGACTGTGAAATCATGGCCAATGAATGGGTGGTGAATGACCCTTCGAAGCCCTACTGCCCCAACACTGGCTTAATGAGTGGATCTTCCTCTGCCCCCAAGCCCGGAGTAACACCTCTCCCCTCGGACTGCATCCCATCGCCTCTCTGTGAGCTCATCAAGGGCAGGTAACCGCGGGGTCCTGACCCCCGGCTGCCTCTTCCAGGCCCCACCTTCTCAGTCCTGCCCCTTCTTTCCCTCGGAGGACCAAGCACCAATGCCAGGGAATCGAGACCCCTGAGCTGTAATGCCAGGTCACCCACTATCTAGTGGTCCTGGGCAAGCCCCTGACCGGGCTGAGCCTCAGTTTTCTGCTTTGCAAATGGGTACAGTTGTGGCAGCCTGCAGCCTTCCTGCCTCATAGGGTGGTGGGAAGACAGAAGGAGGTGGGGCTGTGACTTTGCTGGCCCCCTCCCTCCCCATCTGGCTGGCGCTTCTGCACCTTCCTTCTGAAGGACGGTTGGGGTCCTCAGCTCTGTCCACCTACCATCCCTATGGCATAAGGTATCTCAGCGTCAGGAACCCATGTACAGATGGGAAATCTTACTAGGGAGGTCAGCGGCCTGTACCTGGTCCTGGAGTGAGTCCAGGGCTCCTGCTTCCGCGAAACCTGGGATTCATCTTATAGAGCTTCAGAGCTTTGAGGGGACTTGGCCGAGGTCACTCAGAGTTAGGGGCGGACTTGAAAAATTCATCAGGTCAGAGATTTAGAGCTGGGAGGGCCGTGAGAGGACATTGCATCAAATCCTAAATTTGGCAGAGGAGGAGACTGAGAAGTAGGAAAGGGAAGGGGGCCTACATTCTTTCTGAGTTACCCCATGCCACTGACCAGGATTGGGGGCGATTCAGCCTGGAGGCCATGGGAAGGCAGTGGTGGGTGGGGGAGCCTGTGGTAACCAGACCAGCTCAGTGTAAGGAAGGACTTTCTGACAATGAGGTAGGGGTGAAGTGCTGAGCTGCCCATTGGGGGAAGTATTCAAGTGTTGTCTGGCTCTTGGGGGCCCTTCCAGCTGCCCAACAGCCTCAATGGGGAAGAATTCAGGGTCTGAAGTTCTTGGGCTCTCACTTTCTCAGGTCCCTTTTCCTGCCTTTCATGCTTGTTTGTGCTTCCCCAAAGGCCCCCACATTCCTTGGGGGAGACAAGTCTGCCAGGCATGTCTCCTGGCCTCCCCAGTGCTCTGGGGACGATGTGCCTGGCACGACCAAGGTGATGTCAGCTTGGGGTGGGTCCCACACTTAGGAGTGAGCTTGAGGGTTCCAGTGCATGGTGTCTGAGGCAGACACCAGGCAGGCAGACCAGGCACCTCTGTTTCTCCCTTCAGCCTATTTGCCGAGTGCCACGAATATGCCTCACCCCAGTACTACTATGATGCCTGCATCTTTGACAGCTGCTTTGTGCCTGACTCTGGCATGGAGTGTGCCAGTCTGCAGACCTATGCAGCCCTCTGTGCACAGGAGGGCATCTGCATTAGCTGGCGAGAGCACACTGACGGCGTCTGTGGTGAGTAGGGCTCTGTAGCAGCAGGTGGGGCTGAGCTCTGGGATCACTGCCTTCCCAGACCCTGTGGCTGGGCTTCGCTGCCTGCTGGGGATCCCAGCCTGTGCCCAGCCCATCAGAGGGCTGCCCGTTTCGGCTGGGGTGGGGGTGGGGGTGGGGTGTCCTTTCAGGCCCATGGGGAGAAGAGTTCAGGGTGAGGGGAAGGTGAGAACAGAAAGATTTGGGAAGGAAGGAGAGGGAGGTGGGTCTGAGTTCGCCTCCTTCTGTCTCAGCCTCGTCTGAGCTTAGGGCCTGCTGGCTCTGAACAGAGGTGGCCTGAGGGGAAATGTCAGGGCCACGTGTGTCCATGGTCTGCTGAGCTTCTCTCTCATGGCTCTGGGTAGAGATGGAGAGATGCATGGTGGGATAGACAGGTGAATGGATGAGTTAGCAGAGAACTGGGAAGATGACAGGTGGGTGGGTGGGCGAAGGACTGGGATGGCTGCTTGGTCTGGAACTGGAGGCCTCTTTCTCACAAGAGGAGGAAGCTGGACTGGGCCAGCTAGGGGAAAGCTTGGCAGCTTGCTCTCCTGGGCAATGTCAGCATTGGGGGGTTGTCTTCTGCCCCCCAGATGTGACATGCCCATCTCATAAAGAGTATAAGGCGTGTAGTCCTGTTGAGGAGCAGACCTGCAAATCCAGGTGAGGGGCCCTTCTTGGAGGAGGCTGCAGCCTCGTCCTCTGCCCCATCTCCCTGCCCTCTGCCCTTCCATTCCTCCTGGCCCCTCTGCTAGTGGCCACAGCTATGGTGCCCAGTGTTGGAGGGGCCTGCCAGCCGCTGTGGCTCGGGGCCTCTGTCAGCGTCCTGTGGCCCTCCCCCCTCCCAAAGCCTATCTAAAATCTCTGACTATTCCATGTCCTGACATAGCCCGTGTTCCTTTCCAAAGCTGTTGGCCTGATGCTCTTAGGACATTGGCCGGAAAGGCAGGAAGGCTCTGAAGAGACACCATTAGGCCCCGGGCCCGAAGCCAGGGGAGCCTGGCATGGCCTGACCCTCTCTGTGCTCTCCTTCCAGCTCAGAGGCGACCATGGACAAGAGGATGATAGAAGGTTGCTTCTGTCCTGATGGCACCATCAGCTTTGCCCCTGGCATCGATGTCTGTGTGCAGACTTGTGGTAGGTTGGGTGGGCTTTTGAGTGGAAGCTTTGTGTGGAGTCTGGGACTGTGAATTTTCCCCACCACCATAAGCCAATTCCTTTCTCTTTCTCTCCAGGCTGTGTGGGACCAGACAACGTGCCCAGAGAGGTCTGTCCTAGCTCCGTGCCCTTTGTAATCTTGTACATGGGTTGGGGTGAGGGGCCGGGGGAAGCTGGCACCCCCATAGAAGAATCCAGACTGAAGTCGTTGGCCATGTTGTGTAGACACTGCTGTGGGGATTGGCACTCTGTCTCACTGGGGCAAACCTGGCATCTTTCCCCCTTAAAGGGGAAATGCTGCCTTTTCTGAGAGAGTGCTGAGTCCCAGCTGTCTCCTACTGCCTGTGCTAGGTCTTGGGTCTGCGGCAGACTGGTGACCTCCTCCAGGCCCCACCTCCTCTCTGCTCCTATCCCTTTCAATTACATGGAGGGGTCTTGGGAGGCTGAACTGGAAATGATTTCCATGGAAGAGATCAAAGCCACCATGTCTTTAATCTGGCCAGTGGGGGACTCAGTAGGCTCTTGGTGTGTCCAAGCAGGGGCGTGGAGGTCAGTCAGCCTGTGGGCCTCAGCCTTCTGGCTCTGTGCCCTGGTGCTGGAACCAGAGCCCAGGGAAGCCAGTGGCCCTGCTAGGGCCACCCCTCACTGCTCTGTCCCTCCCTGCCTCCCTCCATCACCTACCGTGTCCTTTTTGTCCCGCTAGTTTGGGGAAAGCTTTGAGCTTGACTGCAACACCTGTGTCTGCCTGGAAGGAGGCAGTGGCATCGTGTGTGAGGCCAGGGAGTGCAGTGAGCTGCAGCCTGACTCATGCCAGGAGGAGGGCACCTACCCTGTCATTGAGGTGGACCCCAACGACACCTGCTGCAATAGGACCTACTGCAGTAAGAGGGGGCTGGGCGTGGGCTGGCCAAGCCAAGAGTCTGGGGGTGGCCAATAACCCTCTCTGAGGGGCAGGGTCCCTCCCCTGGGCTCTGGGGAGCTTGCTATATGTACATCACCCTGGAGATGTGCTCAGCTTACTTGAACCCTTCCTGTGGAGTGGATAGCCAGAGCACTGCCCTCGATAGAAAGCATGTTCTGCAAAGCAGCCCTCAGAGGTAGCCGTAACACAAATTCTCATTCCCCTTTTTATAGAGAAGGATGGTAAGCCTCAGAAGTGCAAGACTGTCAGAGTCAGGACTTGCACCCAAGTCCCCTGGTGCCTTACTCTGGGGCTCATGGTAGCAGGATGCCCTGTTCACCATGGCATGCTAACAAGCACAGGGTCCTGTGAACACACATGTGACTTCCCTTTAGGTGTCATTTCTCAGAGCCATGCTCTCATAGGGCACAACTTCTAGAAATGTCTGGCCGAGCTGAGGACAGGAAGTTGCTGCCAGGAGGGGAGGGACTGTGAGGGCTGGTGGTCTGCTTGGCATGGAGCCCCATTCGAAGCCAAATGAGACGGTTCCTTCTGTCTCTTATGGTTGTCAGCCCCGTGCCCATTGGATCCCCAATGCCAAGTGGCTTGTCCAAACCCTGGGGGGAGCCAGAGGCTCTGCTCAGGGCTGGTCCAGCCTCAGTGGCTCCGTCTGGACAGATGAGGTCAGACATCCGTATTCTGTGGCAGCGATGGGTGTAGGGCTGGAGACAGCAGGCGCCTTGGCATGGAGGAGCCCCTGGGGCAGGGCTCCCTGCTCCTTCTTACCAGGGCCATTTCCACCTTTCTTCTGAATTTCTTTCTGCCCTCACAGAATGCGATATGAGCCTATGCCAAACCGAGCTGCCTGTGTGCTCTGTGGGATTTGAGCTAAAGACACAGCTTGTCCCTGACAAGTGCTGCCCTGTCCACTCTTGTGGTAAGTCTTCCTCGCCAGGACCTGCTTGAGGTAGGGTAGGGGGGAGAGGGTCCCCTCTCTGCTGCTTCCCAGCTGTACTGGCTATGCCAGCGGCTTGAGAGAGGCTGAGCAAGGCAGCCTGGCCTCTGCTCCCGGGTGGTCTCCAGCGAAGGAATAGGCAGTTGTTGGGCCATTCTGGCTTAGGGACTTGGGGTGATGACATCTGTGGAGGGACATGGCCACTGTTGAGATCTAATGACAGAAGGCCACTGAGGGCAGGCAGAGTCGGTGGGCCCAGTGACCCATCTCCCTCCCCATTTTACAACAATTGGACAACATTTAATATATTTCAATACAACACGCATTTCTCCAGGCCCTGGCTAGGTACTGGTGACCTGGAGACAAAAGCCCAACAAAGGCTGCCCCTAGGGAGGGTTCCTGCCCCATTGATAGAGCAGGGGATCAACACAAGGGGTGGAGTGGCTGGGGCAGAGGAGAGACCCAGGCCAAGTGCTCCGGGGAGATTCTGGTCATTGGAGGCCTCAGGGCCAACAGGGCACCCTGGTCAAATGGTTTGGAGATGGAAGGAACTGCAAGCAGTTTGACCACCAGTCTCCCCCAGTCATCAGTATCTACCCTGTTTGGGGTTGGGAGGTGTTGGAGGGCACTGCCGAATGTCCGTGAGTGGGGAGCTCAGAAAACAGAAACCTGGGGCCAGTTCCTTCTAGACTTAATTTGGAGTATTATTAGCTAAGGTCATGGTGGGCTGGATCCCGTTGACCAAGCATCTGCAAACAATGTGTTCTGATGACCTCTTTTCCTTCCTTCCTCTAGAGCCCAAGGGTGTTTGTGTCCTGGGCCAGGCTGAATACAAGGTGAGCTCTCCAGTATCCCTGGAAATGCACAGGGCAGGCCACCTCAGGAGGGGAAGTAGGGTGGACGGGGGTGGGGGGGTGGGGGATGGGGGGGGCTGGGAGCCCCAGCTCAGCTGAGAGGCAAGTTTCCCTTCAGCCCTGCCTGTGGGCTTGAGGGGGCCGGATGTGGTACCAGTGGGGGTGTGGCTTCTCACCATACTCCCAGCTTCTGAATGGGCACTGAGTGCCCTGCCTCCTTCCAGCCGCTCACAGCTATCTCTCTCTCTCTCTCTCTCTCTCTCTCTCTCTCTCTCTCTCTCTCTCTCTCTCTCTCTCTCTCTCTCTCTCTCTCTCTTTCTCTCTCTCCCCCCTCTCCCTTTCTCCCTCTCTCACTCTCCCTCTCTTTCCTTCTTGCCCTCACAGCCGGGATCTCCAGTGTACTCTGAGAAATGCCAAGAATGTATTTGTACCAACATGGTCAATGACTCCACTCACCTGAATATCATTTCCTGCAGCCACGTGCCCTGCAACAACTCTTGCCAACCTGTGAGTGTCAGCAGCCAGGGGGCTTCCTGACACTCAGGGGGTCTCCTGACCTGTCCTAGTGTCCCTCTCAAGCCCCTAAACCTTTTCTGCCAGGGAAGCAGACCTGGCATTGTGCTCTTCTCTGCTTTTCTGGTGCCCTGTTGTTTTCCTGGGAACAATTTCTATATTTGACTTAGGACATCCAACCTTGAGCCCAGGGGTAGAGGGCTGATCCACAAGTGTTGAGCCAGTTTCTTCCCTTGGACCTCATTTCCTGACCAGTTTTCTACCCCCTCCCTCCTCCCAGGTTTTCATGTGTGAAAGTCGATGTGTTCCAAATCTAACTTTGAGCCTGGGCTCTGGGTTTCCTTTCCTTTCCTCCAGACTGGCTTGTTAGTACAGCACAAAGACTGTGGAATTGAAGTTTCAGCCTAAGATTTGATTTCAGTCTCAGTTATGATTCTTTCTACCTGTAAGTCCAGGCAAGGCATTCCATCTCTCTGAGCCTCGGTTTCCTCATCTGTAAAATGGGAGGAGACCACCTGCACCTCTGACCTCACAGACTACTGGATAAGTCAGAACTCCTTTTTCCTCCTCCCTGGGAATTCAAGAGAGGAGAGTAGTTGGACTTGGGGGAGGGGAACCTGTGCCTGTCATATTGCCCCTGGGCTGTGGGCCAGACCCCCATGCTCTGTGTTGGGCCTTTCCTAGGGGTTTGAACCTGTGAAAGTGACAGACCAGTGCTGTCCCAAGTGTGAGCAGACCCACTGTGTGATACAACAGACTGGCAACCTAATCCTTCTCAAGGTCAGTGTGGACCCCCCCCCCCAATCATTATAACGGGCTTGGCAAATGTGCAGAAAAGCTCTAGGTGTAAGGGGATGTGAAGAGACAAAGCTGACAGCCAGACTGCATCTCTTCCCTAATCCCCTCTCCTCCCCTCCTCCTTCCCTCTGTCCTTCCCCTTCCTCTCCCCTCTATCTCTTCCCTCTCTTCCCCTCTGTTCCTCTCCTCCCCTCTGATCTTCCCCTCCCCTCTATCCTTTCCTTCTCCTCTCCCTTCTCCTCCCCTCCCTTCTCCTCCCCTCACCTCTGATCCTCTCCTCCCTTCACCTCTGATCCTCTCCTCCCTTCTATCCTTTCCTCCTCCTTTCCCTTCTTCTCCCCTCCCCTTCCCTCTGATCCTCTTCTCCCCTCTGTCCTTTCCTTCTCCTCTCCCTTCTCCTCCCCTCCCTTCTGATCCTCCCCTCCCCTCTATCCTTTCCTCCTCCCCTCCTCCTTCCCTCTGTCCTTCCCTTCCTCTCCCCTCTATCTCTTCCCTCTCTTCCCCTCTGTCCTCCCCTCCCCTCTGATCTTCCCCTCCCCTCACCTCTGATCTTCCCCTCCCCTCTATCCTTTCCTTCTCCTCTCCCTCCTCCTCCCCTCCCTCTCCTCCCCTCCCCTCTCCTCCCCTCCCCTCTATCCTTTCCTTCTCCCCTACCTTCTCCTCTCTTCCCCTCTGACCCTCTCCTCCCCTCTATCCTTTCCTCCTCCCCTCCCTTCTTCTCCCCTCCCCTCTGATCCTTCCCTCCCCTCTATCCTTTCCTTCTCCCCTCCCTTCTCCCTTCCCCTGATCTTTTCCTCTCCTCTATCCTTTCCTTCTCCCCTCCCTTCTCCTCCCCTCCTTTCTGCCCATACAGCCTGGTGAGATGCAGAATGACCCTAAGGACAACTGCACCGTCTATAGCTGTATGAAGCTTCAAGACCTTCTCATCTCGTCTGTCTCAGAAATCACTTGTCCTGACCTGGACTTGGGATCCTGCCAGACTGTGAGTGTCCCCTGGCCCCAGCCCCAGCCCCAGCTGCCCCCTTCCCCAGAATTCCCTTTCCAAGTGCTAAGGTAGGATAGGAGGTAGAGCACCTGATGCTCATAGGGGCTCAGACCCTCCCTCGCCTTGTCTGGGGATGCTCGAGGGAGGACCCTGTCTAGGCGGATGAGAACCTGACCTGCCTGCTGCTCTGGTCACTTCCTTGGCAAACTATCACAGAATCTCAGCATTAGAAGGGACCTATGTCCTCCAGTGCCAAGCAGAAGGAGCCTCATTCTTCCTTTACACAACTTGGTTCCCCTCCAGAGGAAAGACCCCATGCTCCTTCAAAGGACACTCCAGGCCCCTTAAGGCATAGAAGTGGGAACTCTGTTCCTGGCCCTTTGGGGGTGTCAGATATGGTTTCTTACCTTCTTTTCTAGGGCACGATTAAGCTGATGCCTAATGGTTGTTGTAAGACATGTGAGTACCCAGCTCCTGTTGGTGTGAAGGAGCCTGCCTGCCCGCCAGTCTGACTGGCCAGCTTGGACTTGGGCACAAGTGGACAAAGTCTGTCTCTGGGAGGGGGTGGGGGGTGCAGGGGAAAGAGCTGCCTGCTCATTTGCCAGACTGAGATGGGGGCAGGGCTGAGCCAAGTGCAAGTTGGAGGATATGTGGACAGGTCCAGGACAGGAGGGGGATGGGTACCCCTCTCGCCTTCTGTGGGTCAAATGAGTCTTTCACCTTGGAAGCAGCCACCTCCTATTCCTTCCTTCCTTGCTTCCTTCTTCCTTTCCTTCTTTCTTTCCTCCCTCTCTCCCTTCCTTCCTCCCTCCTTCCCTCCCTTCCTTCCTTCCTCCCTTCCTTCCTTCCTCCCTTCCTCCCTCCCTCCCTTCCTTCCTCTTTCCCTTCCTTCCTTCCTTCCTTCCTTCCTTCCTTCCTTCCTTCCTTCCTTCCTTCTTCCTTCCTTCCTTCCTTCCTTCCTTCCTTCCTTCCTTCCTTCCTTCCTTCCTTCCTTCCTTCCTTCCTTCCTTCCTTCCTTCCTTCCTTCCTTCCTTCCTTCCTTCTTTCCTGCCTTCCTTCCTGCCTTCCTCCCTCCCTTCCTCCCTCCCTCCCTCCCTCCGTCTCTCTGTTCCTTCCTACTTTGCTTTTCTTCCTCAAATATTAAAGTAACTTCTGTGTCCATAGGGCACCATGCTAGGTGTGTGCAGGGGACAATGCCCCGTTCAGCTGAGATGTGGACCTTTAAGCCAGTGTTTAGCTGGGCAAGCTCAGAAGCAGGAAGGCTGACTGGGGGATGCTGGGGATTAGGGAGGGCCCGGAGAGCCCGGAGGGATTTTACTTCTGTCACCTCTCTGACACTCCACAGTTCCTGAGTATCTGTTCCTCTGTCCTTCCCCCTCCCTCCCTTCAAAGGCACATTCCGAAATGAGACCATGGTACCTTGTTCGATGGTGCCGAAAAAGGAGGTGATTTCCGTGGGGAACTGCATGAGGGAGCTGCTGATCAATCACTGCGAGGGTGCCTGTGAGACGTTTGCCAGGTAAGTGGAGGGACTGAGGGTGAGCACCCCTGGCCTTGGGTGGGACCATTCATACAGTGGCTCCTCTAGTGCCCCTTTGGTAGGCTGGGTTGGCCCAGGAAACCCTGAGGAGGCGGGCCTGAAGGAAGCATTAGAACTCAGCTCCTGTGCCTAGGGCTTCTTCCATCTCCCCTGGTGAAAGAGAGCCTGGGGTTGGGGCAGAGCTTTGGCTCTCTTTGGGATTTGGTGGGAAGAAATCCAGGAGACTTAGCTGCTGCATGGAAGAGTCTGTCAGGACCTGCAAGGTTGGTGGAGAAGGGGTGGCTAGCCCCTGTTCTCTTCCTGGGCCCCGGAAATGGTGACTTAGCCATTGGTGACCCCCCCTCCAGGTACTCAGAGGAGGCCCAGAGCATGGACCATCAATGTTCTTGCTGCAAGGAGGTGAAGACCAGCCAGAAGGTGGTGGAACTGGACTGTGAGGGAGGGGGCAAGCTTGCCCACAACTACACTTACATCGAGAGCTGTGGATGTCAGGACACCGTCTGTGGAATTCCTCTGGAGAGCGATGGGACAGTCTCTCAGAGTCGCGCCCGCCGAGCCCTGCGGAGGTCCAGAGTGTGAGCGCCTGCTTGGGCACTCAGTCGTCCTCTTAAGCCTCTGTCTCTGCATCCCCGAATCCTCAAGACTTTCTCGTCTTTCCTTTTATTCTTTTAAAGAAAATATTTATTTTCTGATCTTGTCAAACTCTTTTTACTCTTAACTAATAAAATCGTGAGAGAGCCAGTGTGAGAGTGTTTTGTGTTGGGGTAAGGGGAGGGATGGTAAGGGTAAGGGTGAGAGGAGGGGCCTGCCACCTGTGCCCAGATAGAAGGCAGGGGCAGCGATGGCGTGAGCCAGACCATGCTGCAGCCCTCTCCCCCACAGAGAGCAGTGGGGACAGGATGACCCAGAGGAGCCTGGGGGGGGGGCTCACCAAGCAGGCAGGCATGCCAAGGGGCACCCCATAGGCTCTCTCCTCATCAGCTGCCAAGGCCCCACCAAGCTCCAGGGAGCTCTGGCTGGCCACCACCCCGCTTTGGAGCTCCCAGGACAGGGGCAGCTGGAATCCTCTAACGGCTTTGGTCTGGCTCTCGGGTATCTGCCCTTCTTTCCTGAGTCTGTGTGATTGCACTCCCGCTATGGGTCTGCACTTCTTCAGGGAAGGAGCAGCACACCTTCTGCCTGTTGTAGGCCGTAGCCCTCAGCCCTGGTGCTGAGGTGCTCCCAGAATCTTGAGGGGCCCGGTGGAGATGTTAACAGGACTTTACCGAGCCAGTCTCTAACCTAAGAATGGTGAACTCTGGCTCTCTCAGCAACCTCCTCTCCTGGCTTCTTGCCCTGCTCTTCAGGGCCGAGCAGGACAAGGCCCCCCACCCCGGACCATCCTTCAGATATAAGCCCCCTTAGCCTTCTCTTCTCCAGGTCTCTATTAATCACCTCTGGATGCTGTCTAGAGTTCTTCATAAAGTGTTCCCCATGCCCACAGCTGTGTCCAGCGCTCTCACTGCAGAAGGTGCTCAGTCTGCATCATCCATTTGGTCAAAGGGAGAGGGTCTATGGGGGTCAGAACTGAGCTTGTAACCCCCACCTCCCCCCGGTGCCTTCACCTACGGCATGTGCTAAGGAAATACTGGCTGAGTGGACAGTGAGGGGATGTCTCCTTGCAGCCACTAGATGTCACCCACAGGACTCTGGAATCCCAGACTTTGGAGAAGAAAAGGACCTCAGAGGCATCTAGCCTGGTCCATGCTAAGTCAGGATGCTCTCTGCCCCATCCCTAGGCTTCTCTATTCCTGGCAACCCATGGCTAGGCAGCAGAAGCAATGTCTGTCCCTTTCACCCTGGCAGGGCAGCCTCTAGGGAGGGGATCAGGGGTGGAAGTGGGGTGCTGCTGGGACTCAGCCTCTGGCAGGAGGCTCCTCTGTAGCCTGCCCTCCCAGTGCTAGGCTGCTCCCCAGCTTTAAGTGGGTGCCTGTCTGTGCTCCCAGTGGACATCCACAGTAGACCCAAGGGGAAGAGCCGGTGTGAGTAGAGTATGAAGGCGTGGCTTCCCATGGGGGAAATGAACCCTTCGCCTGAATGAGCTATGCACTCATGGCCTGCTTCAGCCTCCTTCTTACCCTCCCTTGGGGAGAAACAAGCCCATATTGAGTCCATGTCTTGGCTCAGCTCTGAATCTCAGATGCCTGGGGCCAGGCCACAAGGGCGCCCCATATCTCCCAGCAGCCAGGAGCTGTGTCTGCCTTGGTCCTTGCCTGCCAGACCAAGAACTTTCTTATTACAAACCTTCTGGTCACCCCTGGCAAGGAGCCGAGACCTGAAGCCTCCTCCTGTCCCTGCCCCTCCCCTGGGGAGGCAGACAAGCTGCCTGGCACTGGGCTACCTGCTGCCCTCAGATGTTAGGATCAAACCTAGCTCCTCAGCCAGGGCCAGCAAGCTAGCAGGCCAATCCAGTTCAACAAGTACTAATTAAGTGCCTGCTGTGTACCAGGCAGCATGCTAGGCCCAAGGGCACAAAGAAAGGAGAGGATGCAGATCCAAGAGCTGGGGCAGGGGAGGGGGAGCAGCGGAAGCCCCTCAGACTCCAACACTTTCCCATCTCCTCAGTGGACACAGGCTCTCCTGTGGTGTGGGTAGCAACCCATTCTGTGGGACTCCCATCCTGGTTTTTCCAGTTTTGAGAGAAAGACAGAGAAAGAAGAAGTACATACATACATACATACATACATACATACATACATACATACATATATGTATATAGATAGATAGATAGAGAGAGAGAGAGAGAAAGAGAGAGAGTGAGAGAGAGTGAGAGTGAGAGGAGAGAGGGAGGGA